GGGAACTACTTTTTACCAGTGAAAGTTAGTTTTTAGCTGTGAAAACTACTTCTTTTATTCCATGTATCATCAGTTAGTTTGAGATACTTCTTTTACACTTTTATTTTATTTTTTATATTTTTATTTCTTTTTTACGACAACTGTTTGTATCTTTAATAAGTATTAATCCCAATCGTTCTTATAGAATTTATTCCAGAGCGTAATAAAGTTGATTCTATACTATTTTATTTTATTCTACATTCCGTATTCCCAGAACAGGGATTACGGATTATTCATCATTCGACAAACCGAACACGATACGCGTGCGGCATTATAAAACTCCTCCGTCGAGATGACTCTTGAACAAAAAAGCCCGATAAGAAATGCGGCGCGCCAAGCCGGGCTTAACGCAGCGCGCTGGAACAGATTAAAAACTACGAACCGAAAGTTATTTCTTGACAAACAACTCGCAGCACGTGTCCACTCGCGACCCTTCGCAGCTTATCCGTATAAAGCTTCGGGCTACGCTCTCTCTCTCTCTCTCTCTCTCTCACTCTTTTTTTATTCTCTCGTTTCTCGCGACGCGGGTACACCTTAATGGAGCGCGAACGGAAGCGTTTAGATCCCTCGCCGATGTCTGAAACGTCTCGTGCGCGCCGGTTCCTCTTACTTCTCGCGGCAGTTAATTACGCCGAAGTAAAACGTCCGATGCGTTTTCTCTCACCTTTTACTCGCGACCGCGGCTATTATACTTTTCCCCAGGAGACATCGGCCGCAGTCGCAGCATTTACAGTGCACGCGCCTTCCCGCCCTCGACTTTACCTCGGCGCCGTGGTACGGTCGCACACCGTCGCACGTATTTGCAGACACGTAATGTGAAACTAATGGACGCGAAAAGGAAGAAATTTGTCCGACGTTTGTGGAATTACGTAGCTAGACCTATCGAACGTTTGCGGACTCGCGCGCCAGCGACGGCGATAGGTGGGTAGAGGTAGACGGTTACGGTAAAACGAGAAACATACGAAATGCGTTTCGACTCGATCGTTTCACCAAGTTTGAGTTCGCTCTCTAATTTAAACAAAGTCGTCACCCCTTTTCGAAATTGAATTTAATTAGTACACATCTCAATCGCCACCTACAAGCCTTCAAAGACCTTTGGACTTTAGCCGTCGTTTCCACGGAGAACTACCGAGTCTCAGTCAAAAACCCCGACTGCGCACCTCGGAGATGTCGCCGAGAAATTTTCTTCTTTCTCGAACTTAATGTAATTATATTTAAATAAGACTGCTTCGAGAATGGTAAAACTTGAATAGAGCTATGAGAAACCAAAGCACAGAGATGTTCCATTGCTATTTAAATATTAATATTGTCAATATTAATGTTATTATGGGAGAGTAAAGTACATCGTGTATTGCGGACATACCGAAGATTTTCGGGTAAACAAACGCGGCGAATTAGAATGAACCGACTCTTAAGTCCCAGTAATATCGTTATAAATTCTAATCCCTTGAAAATCTAAACCTTTACCTTAATTGCTAAATAAATTAATAAAAGCAATTTTTCATTCTACTTATAAAGTTGTGAATTAGGTTGCATTCCGTTCGGTTAGTGAAGAAGTCCAGATGCAACTCCTAATTGAGGCAGTATTTTTCGCAACATAAAAAATAGAATCAAAAACTAGTCTGTTAATTTAGCAATTGAATAAGGATTTTCAAAGGATTAGAATTTATAATAATATTACTCGGTCTTAAGGTTCGGTTCATATAGAAGACTAATTTGCCGAGTTCGTTTGTCTTCTTCGCAAATCTTTGGTACGTTCGCGACGCACGATGAATAATTTTACCTTTTCACAATTATATTAATATTGACAATATTAATATTTAAATGACACTAAAACATCCGTACTTTAACTCCTCATGATTCTATATATTAAAGTTTTAACTATCTATCTTCTTCGCTTTACCTGCCCGACGCACTTCAATGTAATACAAAGAAAAAAATCTGGCCGCAATAACCAGAAAGGGAACACCAAGATACATTTTGTTCAAAGGAAGCAGAATTTCCAGTTCTTATGATCCAAATGTGTGTTCTTATAATCAGAAATTCTGTTTCCTTCAAACAGAATACACCTGGTTGTTCGCTTTCGCGGGTTGATACAACCAAACTATTTTTCCATGTACGTACTTGCATCTTTATCATTATCGCATATAACGATAAATAAGTGAAATAACATTTTTTACGAGAGCTTTTGAGTTATCGCCGAACTATCCGTATAATTCTGCTGTTGTCCGAAAATACGGTGTTATTTCTCATCGTCCACCTCGTGCTGCAAAAGAGCCGGCTGCATTCGCGCGGGGGAGGGAAAAAACGGGAATGGCGTATAGCGAATTTCTTTCGTGCGCTCTACACGAAAAATCGGAGGGAACATTGGCCATCCAGGCGAAATGAGGAACATGAAGTACCGCGGTACGCAGAGGAGCGTACATCGGCGCGATGTAATATCCTAGCAAACCTGGCGCACGGTAGAGCTCGAGCTCCTCCACTTCCCTTAAACACGCTTAAACCGGCGAGCACGTTACGTACTGCATAAACGTAACATCGCGTTACTAATACATGAATTTCCCCTATAGGGGAATCGTGCGAACCCGAAAATTCTGATTACAGTCGGGCTCTGCGGTTCCATCGAAGTTTGATTAAGCGCTCCCGCCGCGTCGAAAAAGATCGCGCCTCCATCATGAACGGTTTCGTTTAATCCGAAATTGAACGCCTCTTCCGCCGCGAATATCGAACCGCCCGGAGTTATCGTTCGCGATGTACGGGCGCGAGCGATTATTATGATTGAGAAGATAATTTCGCTTTTATCCGACGGGATACGGTCGGCCGTCGCTTAAACGCTAAACGAAATTCGAGGATTATACGCGACACGCGTCCGAAAATAGGGTTCCCTTCACGACGCGCGCTATCAACGTGGAAACGCCTCGGTTCCTCGCGCGACTCTGTATTTATTCGTCTGACCCTTTCTCGCCTCGAGGGAGAAATTTTTCAAGGGGTCGGCCCGTCGAGCCCCGGGCGTAGTAGCGCGTTTTCTTGCTTGCAGTTTTCCATCGACTGACCCGCGTATATACACACACGGCCGCTCGAGGCACTCGGTCCTCGCACAACGACGTCGTATTGTCCCGGGAAGAGTACGAGAAGCCGATACGAGGGTGCGGGCGTCGGTATACTTGGACGAAATTTCGCAAATGCGCGCGTCGTCATCGACCCTGTGTGCACGTGAGCGAGTGCCGTCTCTCGTTACGTTGCGTCGCACACCCGGGACGTCGAAGGAACGTACGGCTGATTTCATCTATCCGAGTTTGCCGAACTGATTGCCGCTATTCAAGCCGGCGCGCGAATTGATGGCGACTAACGCGAATTTGCCCCTTGCAGGTGCCAATTACAGGTCCATTATCAAAGTCGCGGGTCGCGCAACCGCCCCCGCTGCCGATCTCGATTTGCTTAACGACCTCATGATCTACACGCATCCCCACCGTACCCGCATCTCCGCAAAAAGTGATAATAGCGGACTCGCTTTTACATATAACCTCGCTTCAATTCTGAGATCGAGATAAAAAAAAGTGCCAGCGGCGTGTGAACTTTTAATCTTGTCTCGTTATTCCCAGCAAAGGAATTCTATTTGTTACTCTGTATCTCCGAGTTGAAATCTTGCGGTTTGACTTGGAAGAAATTCCATCAAACTTGAAGTATAATAAATATCGTATGGTACATATGTATATGATACATCTCATACGTATATACCATATGATGTATGATAAATATAGTATTCACATATTATTATTTTATTTTTTTTAAAGAGATTATAGTTAAATTTTTGGGATTTAAAAGAGAAGGGTGAAAAGGCAGGAACTATAAGTACAGTCGGTCAGGGGACGGTTGTAACAGTTTTTTTGTTTACATGTTTCAGAACGACGAAGCGAACTTATGATTTATGAACATAAGCAATAGTCAGACAGCTGTCAAAATAACATGTGCACATGTAATTTTTACATATACATATCTAATTTTGACATCTGTCTGGCCATTTATTGCGTACATATATCGTGAATCACAGGTTCGCTTCGTATTTTTTGTGTGGTCTGAAGTATATAAGAAAGAAAAACGATTGCAACTGTCCTGTAACTGACCGTACAAAGGAAATGGATGTGAAAAGAAGGCGTTAGCAAGTTCAAATCGGAACTTGCAACTTAAAAAACATTATTAGAAACACAAGGTAACATTGACAAGACACATAATATAAACTCTGAATTTCGACTCAGGTATCAAATGAAATACTTGGCTCTTTGTATCGAGCAAATTCGACGCTGTAAAAATATATAGAGTAATAATCATTCACCATGAACCGAAGACCAGCGTCGTAGGATAGCGTCGTAGACCGTCTCCGTGGATCAGTATCGTAAAACGGCGTCATAGACCATCGTCGTGGACCAACGTCATGCATCGGCGTCGTAGATCATCCTGGTAGACGGGCGTCGGTCGGCTTTCTCGATCAGCGTCTGTCCCGTCACGTTAATCCTTCGACGTTTCTTCACTTCTTTCGATTCTCACACAATGCACTTACGATACACTCGCGTTTCGCGGTCACACTCGCGAAAATACACTCGAAACGAACGAGATAATACAAAACTGCGACAACACGTTCTTTCAACGGACGGAGTGTTCGAACGATATCTCAGTAATGGCGGCCCAATGAAATTGGCCGTGGAGTAAAGTAGCGCGCATCGCGCGACACGTCCGACGCGTGAATACAGCGTTTATCCGACTGTGATCTTCGAGAGATGACGTATCCGCGCAAGATACGTACGCACCAATAAGAGCCCTGTAATCGCTATCCCTTTTTCGTTCGTTCTACGGAACTTGTCGCGTCGTGTTATGTTGTCCCTCGAAAGTCAACGTAAGATGTTATTACCGTCGAATTAATTGCGACGTCGAAACTCTCACGACGGCATATATTCTTGTTGCAGGGAACCTGTTCGTGATAATGGCTATCGTGTTAGAACGCAATTTGCAGTCCGTGGCGAATTACTTGATCGTCAGTTTGGCCGTCGCAGATCTTATGGTCGCCTGCCTTGTAATGCCTTTCGGAGCTCTTTATGAGGTACGTAAGTCGCCGATTGTATCAAGAAACGCGAATTATTACTGTACGATCTGTCAATACCGTGAACCGATGGATGAAACTGCGACAAAGTCGTGGAAAAGATCGTACATTTCGCAGCACCTTACGTACACGTCCATACGAACCCGCGCCATCTTGGGAAAAGAACGATTCATGCCCTCGTCGATGCACTGTCGATAAATCGAAGGTGGCGTTGCAAGCGTGAGACAGATTGGTGTTTATTACACCGTGACACCGGCGCGTATTCGCGGGAAATCAGATGTCGCACAGACGGAAGTGCGCGCGAGTTTTGCGCGCCTTTGTGTCCTTTTCACAACAAGTGCAGTTAATCGTGAGAGGTATTTATCGTGCAAACGCGAAACAAAAAGCTGTTATCTCTCCTGTCTCCTGAAGAGAATTGCACTACTATTTCCAGCTGCTCGATTCTCCGGTTTCCCGCAAGCGGAAAATAGTATTATTGTCCAGCAGGTTGTGAGGTTAGATTTACGACGGTACGTACTCTTATTTGCGTTTGCGACAGCGACTGTGATTGTCAAATTGAGTGTCAAAGGCAACGTTATACTCGGATTTGCCGATAACTATCACTCGAACGTACTATTTCATGTCGTCGGAATCGCGAAAAACCAGAATTCGATAGAAGAGATACGATATCTGTTACGAGTAGAAATAGTCCGAACGATAAGTCCGATAAACGCTTTAGAAACGTAGAAAGATTTACTAAGTAATTTGCCGAACGTAAAATCACGCGGCCACGCGTACGCTCTAAGCGCTCGTCCGCCACACGCTATCCTGAGCGAATGAACGCGACGACGAGTCCGTCCTGATCTTGCGACATGACATAGTCTATTTTCTTGTGTAAAAACGATGTCAACACATCTTCCGAGAAGTCAAGGAATGTCGTGTCGAACATAGGAGCGTCTCAACGATACAAAATCCTCAGTGCATCATAATTAAAATATTAAATTAAGTTTTAATTTTTAGGAACGTACATTACATAAACAGTTAATAAAAGGAAAAACGAATTGACATGATTATAATCTGAATTAACGCTAAATTAACTGTAAAATATATATATATATTTCTCCCATAAATGTATTGTAGTTAAATGGAGAAGAAGATTTATATTCATGTAATAATATAAAATTGTTGACTTCAATTTCGTCAAATTAATGAAAATTTCGCAAAATTTTCTGCTTAAATAATAATAATAATAAAGATAATATATACGTCCAAATAATAAATCTAATTTTTGGAAACAAATGGAAATTTATACTTGACGTTTTACTGAATGTGAAATCGCATGACTACGTTGCTTTCAAAATGTACAAACGTTATGCGGCAACATTAACGTATATAATTATAATAAAATGTTAAATTGATTAATGTTAATGTTAAATTAATTAATTTGTAAAAGCATGTTCTCCATAAACGATTAATTAATTAATTTGTAAAAGCATGTACTCCATAAAATATTTGACCGGTAAAAGAAAAAATGAGTTGATATGATTATATTCCGAATGAACATGAATATATATATCTTCTCGAAACAATGAATTGTCGAAAAATTAAAGAGGATATTTATATTAATATAAAATTTAGGATCGTCGATTTAAGTTATTCCGAGAAAATAAAGGTCCCGCGATATTTCCAAACTCAATAATAAACTTAATCTTTTAGAAACGAGGAAAAATTATTTGTCGATTTATCGAACGCAAAATTGCATGACCATATTGTTCTAAAAGTCCGAATGTTACGCGGAATAATAATTATTATAATATGTCAAATTAAATTAATTTATAAAAACACATTATTATTCTATAAATAAATGCGATAATAAAAGGAAGCATAAATCAGGCTATATTGAAATATGAATGGCTATACTGAATTACCACGACAACTGTTAAATATTTTTATCTCTATAAAAAAATGTTATCTCTTTGATAAAACGCATTGTATCTAAATGAAAGAAAAACATTTATGAAAGAAAAACATTTATGTTAATATGAAACGTAATGCAGGATCGTCTCGACGTAAGTTTCGCAGAGGAAATAAAAATTTAGTGGGATTTTCGACAGACGAGTCGAGTCATTCTCTTCGCGCGTAGAGCGTCGTTCTCCTTTCTCGAGCATCTTTCGCGTTGCACTCTCATTGTTAGACTTTACTCCACGTTCCGTTACAGTCATTCACGGATTTATAACGCCCGTAAGAAGCCGCAGCGGTACGCGAGTTCCTGGCCATTTTTACCGCGGCTTTATGTTGACATTCGCGCCGGGTGGAAACTGCGTTCGCCTTTCGCCGAGGAATCGACGTTTAAACGCTAAATTCCCGGCCGAGAAAGTTTGCTAATTATGCATCTTACGTTGACGACAGCGGAAAATCCCAACGAAAACCGGCCGTGCGCAGTACATCAGCCGCAACGATTTATCGCGCTCCGCGAATTTTCACGTGGAATTCCAGTCGCGTGCGTGCTCCCGCGAAAAGTTACGAAAAGTACGCGGACCAACGGCGAAAAGTCTAACAATGATTTATACAAGTGCGGGAAACTTAATTCACGGGAATTTCGGGGTGAAATTTATATAATCGGCAACGCGTGACGATCACGACGAGACAATTTGCGGCGTAACGCGATTCATCGTGTATGTGACGCGTCGCATAAATATTCAACGTGCACGTTTTAGAATTCCACGTGGAAAATTTATGCGGGACTTTAATGTATACTTTGTCGTCGGCTTTAGAATTTTATCTCGGTCGTGGTATTTCGCGATGAGACGTATAAAACGAGAAAACGAAAATGTCACGATCTTAATAATATACCGATAGTGTCGTAATGTCACGATCGCAATCTGCAACCTTTGTAAAAGCCAGACCGGAGTTTTCTACATCCCGGGATATCTCTTTCCGTGTACCCAGTGCAAACGGCGGAAGCGACGGGGGGAACATTGTTACATGCATACATATTCAACAATTAAGAACATAAGTACACAAAGATAACGAGCGTTATGTACATACGAACGATTAGCTTTTGATTCTAGCGCACGTTCGCAAGCCGGCCCGCATATTTATACTTAATAAGTCCTAGTAAATAATCAGGAACTGCAACACGGTAATGGGAATAGCATCGGCGCTAATTATCGAGGCGCTTTGTCACGGTTTTGCGACGTTATCCAATTAACGAGAACCTCATCGGGTATTGCCGTGAGGGGTAAATACGCGGAGTGTATTGTACCGCGCATATTGTTATTCATTTTTAACGCGCCCGCTTTCGATTCGCGTATCATGTGAACGTTGAAATTACAAAAGCGAAAATTCGTGCCGTAGAGACCAAGGGCTCGATTTTTGAATTATTCGTATATGTAACTTGCGAGTGATATCCAATAAGTGTACTGTTTTTGCGAAATAACTTTATGCTCATTGGATATCATTCGCAAGTTACGTGCACGAATAGTTACGAATGATTCAGAAATCGAACCTTAATGTAACAGATACATTTTTTCTAAGTAATTATATACAGATATTGATACTGAAAGGGGAACTTTTTCATTCATCTGTGGAAAGAAACCAAAAATACTGCGGAAAAATTAAGAAAACCCGGATTTATTCCAAACTTTTAAAACTATAATCTGTATCTTACATTTATTACATTTCCCTTTCAGTATTTGTATTTATATCAAGTTACCTTAAATAATGTATCTGTTACAACATTGGTAAAGACGATTATCAGTTCACGCTTGACTCGAAGAAAAAGTAGGAGGATTTCGTGAGGAAGCTCGCCCTTTCTCATATGGGACAAGTCTAATTTAATTACACGCATTAGCAGTCGTCACCGACACTTTTTCTTCTTCCCTTCTCCTTCTATCCTCGCTAGTTCTTTCTCTCCTCCGCAAAATCTTTCTGTCGACATATATCCTTATTTAGATCCCCCGTTTTCTTAACGCAGCCTCTCACGTCCCGCCAGCTTCCCCTATATGTATCCCATCTCAGCACTTTTTCCACCTCATACCACTTTTTCTTCATATTATATTTCCGCACTCCCGCTATATCTCTCTCGCTGGCGCACCTGGGTTTCCTCCTTCTCGCTTTTCATGGGCGTTTTCAGCGCGGGACGGCTCTCGCTCGCTTCTCTTTCTCTCTTTTCGTCTCTTGCATCCTTTGGCCTCCTCCTTTTTAAGCCTGTCTTCCCTCCGTTGTCGATATCTCCCACGCGTTACCGCTTAATGGTGCAATTCTATTTCGACCGCCATTCAAGCGGCGGCAGACGCATTAGCGATTTTTACCATCGGGTATACTAAATCGCGGGGTGAGAATCGCGCTCGTCCATCGCCTTAACGGACACATAGAAATTTATACGTCTGCCGTTTGATCGCAGCTCGCAGCACCGAATATTTGATGGATGTCCGCTTTACAACCGCCTGTTTCACCCGGGCGTTTATCGGCGGACACCAGGAGCGCCTCACGCGAACGACTTCATTAACCGCGCGTGCACACGCGACTCGCTCGATTAAACCTTCTAAGATGCGCGACGATAGGAGGAGGGTTTGTCGAGAAACACCCAGCGACTCTCGTATACCGTTGTTTTTAATAATTGATCGCATCGATTTCTGTTATAAAACGATAGGGAGACGTGTGAAAAACGGGGCGCAGCTCTCGTGTCTTCCTTCTCGTTGCTTCGATCCTTATTTGCGACCTGAAGAAATTACCGTGTCGAATTACGTGCAATCGTTAGCGATGTATAGCCTAAATTACCACTCCTTATTCTGTTTCTTTAAATATTTTCTTTAATTTGCGTATGCCTTGATTGGAACATACATACCGATTCAAGTTGTATGGAAAAAAATGAATACACAGAAAAAAATAATCTTAAATCAAGAATGGATATATGAACAAAACATAAATACTGGCGGGGCCAGTTCAAAAAATTTATATAGGCATAGATAATATATATTAATCTCTAGAACGCGTAATTAATAATTTTACACATGACAGACGCAGAGAGTGCTTATGCTCGGCCGTCTAAATTTTGCTGCAATATTTCAAGAACACACCTCGTTTGCATGGTTAACAACTCGTAACTCGAGTGCTTGATTTTGCAAAAGAACAGGGGAAAATCGTTCGAACGGACGATGCGCGGCCGATTGTAGCACCTTCTATCTCTTATCTCGAATCACTCTCGAGCGAGTCCCGAGAATCTAGTTGAAGCCGTTTTTCCCATCGAAGCCCGCGCAATCGGCGTTACTTTTGAGAAGCGCTTATATTTTCCGCGAAATAGACGCGACTTATCAACTTCCGGAACATTCTGATCTCAAAGTATAAAGGAACGGATGTCTATGGTGAGGGTGTCGGCGCGCTGAAAGGAGGACAAAGGACGATTGGCTTTCGACGATAGATTCCAATACCATGAATGGACTTTTAAGCAGGCATGCATCAGTCCCTCCTCCGCTCTCGCCAACTTCTACAACATCACTCTTACCAACTCCCTGTTCTCTCTCCCTCCCTCTCTCTCACTCTCTCTACCTCATGGCATCCCTCGCATCGTCCTTCGACCACCGCTCGGCTCGGATGTTTTCCCTTTCGACCTCGATCCGTATTTTCTCGCGCTACTCCCTTGCTACTCCGCGCGCGCGGAGATCGTCGCGCCAAACTATGTGCAATCCTTAACATATTAATCAGCTAAGCAACCCCTGTCTCAACGCGGATAAAAATAAATTTTATTTACTCGACAATTTGACGTTTCACATCACTGTACGCTTACTACACGCAAGGACTACTTCTGTATATTTTCCTGAGGATATCGTATCGATTACCAAACGGATTGATACTTCGAGAGGAATTACGTAAATAATAGATATATCGTCTCGATGAAGAAGTAACAAGCGAAATTAAGCGCGTAAAGGAAAGAAATTGCTTAATTTTTGTGCAGACTTTCCTCCCTCGAGAAAATCGTTAATTGAACTTTGTCGTTTATTAATTATGTAATAATTACCAACTTCGAAAGAAAGAGACAATTGAGTTGTGAATTTTTAAATAATATACTCATATTACTTTCACGACCGTATAAATGAAAGAAGAGAAAATAACATCCTAGGGATGCGCAATATAAGAATATTTTATATCGATACATATAGTTAATAAAAATATCGATCCAACACAAATATCAAATATATTGATATTAGTGATATCGATATTGTTCATATTTCTATTATTGGCTGCATTCCAATTAAATATATATATTATTTACATATTATGTTTATTTTATAAAATAATACAAAAGTTACACTAACCAACCTTCCGCAGAGAGTTTAAAAATAGCATCTATTTTAAATATCAAAATATTAAAATAAAATTTCACCTGTTATACAGTTTCTATTTTTGGTGCTGATATTTCCAATTCATGGAAATAATCGTTCACTCGGAAAGAAGGTAAAGGTCGTAATTATATTTAAATATTTTAATGCGATTTTAATTCAAATTGTATATTTATTAGTCAATATTTCCTGTGTGCAGGATTCATTAGGGCTTTTTCCCCAGAATTTAAGCAATGAGAATAAAAGAAACTAACTTCAAGCTTAGTCAACTTTGCTCTGATTAGTCAAATTTCAATCTCAATTTCAGTCTCAATCCTAATCCGTAGTCTGATACGTGTGGGAAATTCGATATTCCTATTCAAATATCAATGCATATCGAAAGATGAAATATCGATAACGGAGCCCCAAAGTATCGATATTCGAAATATCAATTCTGTATCGCCCATCTCTAAGCTCAGTCTCGATGCATCTGTACTGCGTATTCCGTGGCATTTCGGCGCGAGACGCGCGATTACACGTGCATCGATCTCACGCCATCCGCGTTAGACACACTCCATAATAGATAATTCTGTTTATTACAGATAAAGTCGGGATGGTCACTCGGCCCGGTACTCTGCGACATATGGACCAGCAGCGACGTTCTATGTTGCACAGCCTCGATATTGCATCTGGTGGCTATCGCGGTCGACAGATATTGGGCAGTCACCGATATCAATTATATACAGGTTAATTAACGCCGTTGCGGTTATTGAGAGGAAGTAGGAGATCGTCCGGAACGATGAAGTCGTTGACGTCGCGCCCGGTCGACAAAAATGGGGAAAGAATCGGGCGTGCGGGTGCCGGACGCGCGAGCTGGCGCACTACATGTCGCGCCGTAGATCTCTTTGAATAATAGCCGGAAGACCGGCGTGACGCGCGGGAAAATACTGTTTTATCAATCCGAAAATGGCTCACGTGGAATCCGAATGGAACCTCGGCGGCGCGCGAAACACTCGCGCGTTTCCGGACTCTCACGGCCGTGCGACAATTTTTCCGCGACTCCGCTTGAACGTCACGCTGTCGTTACGCTCGGAACATTTCCCCGCGACTCCTTCGACAGAACGAGAGAAAAAAGCGATACATACTCTCTCTCTCTCTCTCTCTCTCTATTTGTGAAAATGTTTTCCCTTTACATCTTTTTCTCTTGTTTCTTTTTGAAATAATCTTCGCCGTGCTTCCGGTCTTGTTTCTCTCAGTTTGAAGCCAAACGAAAATTATTCGTTCCGTGCATCGAGGGTAAAGTTCAACAATTCTTGCACGAAATTCAATTCTCCATGACGCGTCTCGATACTCGTACGTGGATCGGACACTTTTACTGCGGAATAAAGTCATGAAATTACTTGTCAATTTTCGTCGAAAATTGCGTGGCGGCGAATTTGCCCCTTCCTTTCTGCAGAGGGCACGCGCACCGGTGTAACGAGAATTACGGGGAACGCCGCTCATGAAGTATGAAAAAGGATAAGACCGTAAAGCGAAACGGTCAGAACTTCCCATCCGTAAATATAGTCTGACCAGAGATGAGACGAGGATGTAATACGTCCTGCCCTTCCTCCCCCTACGAATGGTTCAAAGTTTGTTAGAAATTAACTTAGAGCCGCCTCGATAAACTCGCGATTCGGCCGACGGTATGTCGAACTTAATGGCTAGCTTTGCATCTCCTAACTGACAGAAAGAGCCGCATACGTTCCCTCGGATAACGGGTCGATTACATTATAAATAATCGAGCGGACGAGAGAAATTAATGAGTCATGCGAACCCGCCGAGGAGAGATCCGCAGATAGAGCAGGCATCGCAATTTCCTCGAACGCGGACGGTCTTGGATCTCGAAGGAAAAAAGAACAGCCGGGTTTACGAGCGCATCTAATTAAAAGTTTAATTTTCTGATACAAGACTGTGTTCTTAATAATGCGCGCGCTCGCCTCGTAAAATTTATCGGGAGCAGTAAAATGCCATCCGACGACGACGTCGGCCACCGTCCTGGCCGTATAAATGTAACTTCGTACGATTTATTATAAATTCGAGATATGACTGTAACGTTATGCGCGAGGACTCGTAACAAGATAAGATATTATTACGTCGCGCGCTGCATCGCGACGCGAATGTACACGTGCGAGAAACGGGATAAAAATTTCATTGAGCGAGCAGTTGGAGGACGTTCGACGATAATGACAGCTGTAACGCGACGGAGAAGGGAAACGATCGTCTTAAGCGGTGAGTCGGCGGTAACGTCGTTAAAGCCGGCCTTTTCCATTTTAAGGCGAGGAATCCGAGAAGAATCGGCATCCTGATCGGCACTGTGTGGGTAGTGTCCTTAGGAATCTCATTAGCGCCCCAGTTCGGATGGAAGGATCCTGATTATTTGGACCGCATAACCGAAGGGACGTGTCTTATAACGCAGGATACTGCATATCAGGTGAACGCTTTCGCGGCAATTGAGAGAGAGCGAGATTCGAAATGCACGGTTATTCACGACTGGAAATTGCACTTGCGGACTCGCGACGGAATTGCTTGGAATTCGGCTGCTCGGGAAAACGTTGACGATCCCGAGCAGCCGAATTTTGAATCAGTCTAAAGTACATAGTAGTCGTAAAGTCGAGTCGTAATCGAATCCACGTCTCTCCTGTCGCTGTAAAAGAACTGTCATTGTTGTATAGTGTTTTCAGGAGTCTCTTAAATTTGTATCAATATCTGAAAATAATGAAAAAATCATGAAAAAATCACAAAGTAATCTGCGTTGCATTTAAAAGTTTCACAGTAATTCAGACCCTGGATCAAAAGCTATTCTACTTTATGGAGGTTATAAGGTAAAATGAGTTTGATAAGAGTTGATAAAAGTTCAATGAAACTTGCATTACGTATACATTGGGATATTATCTAACTGCTAACATGCAATTAGAAAAAGATTGACAAATTCAGATATTTTGCTATCAGAGTTGTTATACACATTGTTTTTATATGTAAAATTAGCATTTTTTTCATTTCTATCTTTAATATTTTTTAAACTAAAAATAAGATTTTGAGGAAAAATGATTGTAATATTAGACTTAATATGCAGACATTATACACAAGATTCAGGATTATTGACCATTTTATTTTAAAAATACCGCAGTGTAAAATTCATAATTTACATTAATATTCGAAATACGTATACATATACATATTTCAATACTTATATACCTCTTTCTATTTGTGCATCTCTATTAGATCAACTGATGCATAAATATAACATTAATAAGAAAAATAAAAATAACAAATAATATTTTTGTATTTGTAATATTGTGTATATGTCTACCTCAATATGTGGATATATATCTTCGTTTTAAATTAACATTTATTATTCAGATAGAGAAATAAATGTATAGTAACGTAATCTTTCTTGATAAATACTAAATTTATAAACGGCTCCCTTGCACCATTGAAAATACGGCATTGAGTAATACATGCATCATAATGGACAATATATCTTTAACAGAAGCGACGGACAATATATCTTTAACAGAGGGGACAGCCGAAACTCTTCTACGTTCGTATGAATGTTTTATTCGACAGCAAATCTTATTAATGCCCGCGCTTCGTTTCGATATGAATAATCCGACTTCCGAGACTATTTCATTCTGGTGTTAACTTTGGCCTGTTTTACTTTCGACCTTTTGAATAATGAACTGGAAACGCAAAAAGTCTTTATAAAGACGAACATTTTTCTCTCATATTTCCCTCTGCAAAATCTGCTACGCGGCAGATTCGGTGAATCGAGGGCATCATTCTGAAGGAGCGTAAATTACCTTACAGATCTTCGCGACTTGCGCGACGTTTTATGTTCCGCTTTTCGTCATCTTAATCCTATACTGGAGGATATTTCAAGCGGCGCGGAGCAGAATCAGAAGGAGACCCGGCACCATCCTTCAGCCTCCGCGTGAACGAAGGGGCATCCTCAGGCTCGTCACGAGAAGGTTGTGGTTTCTTTGTTCCTTGGTTCTTACCTCGCAAGGCCGGGCTCTTTTCCTTCCGCTCCCATTCAACTCTCTCTCTCTCTCTCTCTTTCTCTCTCCCTTTCTCTCGAAATTATACCTTCGAACAATAATCGAACGTACCACCGTTCATAGTTGCAATAAATTCGAAGGGCGCGAGAAGCGACAACGCGTTAAGCCACTTAGAATAAAGCTCGCAACGCGGCGGACTACTGAGAAATGACGTAAATCGTTCATGAGATTTAGCCCTCTTCTTTATAACCGTCTCGGACGCGCGCGAGATTCTTTTACACGTTATCACGTAATTTAGCACGTAAATAAATATTCTTGGCGCGCGGTATTTTATCTCAAGTGGCTTAGCATGCTGTTGCTCCGTGTGTTTTTATCTCAATGGATATAGTGCAGGTCTTCGCTGCGAGAACTAAGGTATGAATTTACCCGTTGATCGTTCTGCCGCAAGAAAGATCTTGGCTACTTAATAATTGCATACCTTCTCTCTCTCTCTCTCTCTCTCTCTCTTTCTCTTTCTATCTACCTCTATCTATCTATCTATCTATCTATCTATCTATCTATCTATCTATCTTTGTCTCGTCTCTGAAATAAATAACGCTTGATATTATAAGAATATAGATCTGCCGCAAATTGTTCTTTTCTTTCTGATTAAATCACGACGAGTGTTCAACTGTCCGCTTAATGTTGTCTCAACGCTGTTAGAATTATTATTATCCGTTTTAGAATAAGTCTGATTGATCTCGCATTTCTCCGCATTTCTGTACTGTCTCTACGATCTCGTTATTAAAAAGTCATTTCCGCAATCGCGTCAAGTGCTATTATTCGAATGCATTCTGTCAACTTGCTCATGTTCCTGTCACCTCTCTAATTTATCTATCTAAACTGTCATCCTTACTATTAGATCGGTCTATAGTTTCATGCGTATTTATTGTGCATGTTTTCTCATGATTAATTCCCGACGAATTTATGACGTTGTATTACACATCGCCTATTAAAATAATAGTATAAAATAAGTTTCTTTAGGAATTCGTTAAAACTTGCATTATATATAGATTTAAATATCACCTAATTATTGGTGCAATTAGAAAACGATTGACCATACATATTTCTTGAGAGATTAATGTCCTATTTTTAATTTCTATTTTTAATTCCTCCCAAAACACATTTAGGGTTATAATGAAAATCTTCTGTGATATTAAAGATTGATATGCAGATATTATACACAAATTTCAGAATTATTGACCATTTTGTTTTGAAAATGCAGCAGTGTAAAATTTATAACTTGTAGTAATATTTTAAATACACACATATATATATATATGCACATATTTAAACACTTATTATATCTCTTTCTATTATCATTATGTACATCTCTATTAGATCAACTGCTAATATAGCACTAATAACAGAAATAAAAAATAATATTTTCGTATTTGTAATATTGTGTTTACGTGTCTAACTCAACTTCGTTTCGAATTATTATTTAGGTACTAAAATAAATGTGTAGGAAGACAATTTTGCTTGACGAATTTTAAATTTATGAATGACCTTGATGCGCCACTGAAAATATGGCACTCGGCGCTGCTACGACTTTAAGGAGGGAAAAAATTGTCCTGCGTTCCCCTCGCTTTTCAAAATCCCTTAGAAATATGCACGAACATATAGACCGTGACCTAACGTCATTATTTCTTCCCTCTTGTAATTGCTTCCTGTCGCTAATTTGACGTACCTTCCGCTAGAAATACCATACTTATTTATCAAGAAATGAATATACGACGTATATACGACATATCCGTGTCTTCATCCAATGTCGCTCTCCCACGAGGTATCTTTTTGACGACTTTTCATAAAGTTTCCTGGTATCGTTCCAACCGCGCCATCACTCCCGCGCTAACGAGCCAACGGGGTGACATTCACCCTCTTATCCTCTCTTTGTCTTTTGACCAACGTAATTCTGATTTATCTGGCGTAGGCCGCGGGAGGAGTCGACGGCGTTCACCATAACGAGATCTACGCCGGACCACTCCTCCATATCGCCGGAAAAGTCGTCGTCGTACAACGGGGCGAACGTGACCCCGTCGGCGACGGTGACTCCGACGGCGGTGTCCACGACAACGACCACGACGACGCTGACGAATCCGACCAGCACCAGCCAACAACAGCAAGTGGTCTCGACGAAGCGCACCCGCGAGACGATCGAGTCGAAGCGCGAGAGGAAGGCGGCGAAGACCCTGGCGATCATCACCGGCGCTTTCGTCGCCTGCTGGCTGCCCTTCTTCCTGGTGGCGCTGCTGCAGGCTGTATGCCAGACCTGCAAGCCGCCCAATCTTGTGTCCAGTGTGTTCCTGTGGCTCGGATACTTCAACAGCACCCTCAACCCCGTGATTTACACTGTGTTCTCACCGGAATTCAGGCAGGCATTCAAAAGGATGCTGTGCGGTGGTACGCGGGGACTTCGCTGACAGTGGATTTAATTCCTTTGCCGTGCGGCAAATATGCTACGAGATGCGTGAAACTTGAAAACGTACATATATATATATATATATAAACGTATGTACATACATATATATATATAAACGTACATACATATATACATATATGCCACGCACACACGCTCACTATCAACATTTTCTTCGACCTGCATACTCGAGTCTGGAAGTTTCGAGCGGATACGTGCGTATCTAGATGCGACGTCGAGACCAATTATCGACATCTTTTTACATTAGGTTTTGCTTTAACACTTTCTCGGAACATCTTTACAGAAGTCCGACGGATACCTTATTTCTTAATACATTTAGCAATCTCATTTGACTGAAAGATGAGAGAGATATAGAATTATAACTCTTCGTTGTTTCGACGATATACGATATTTTTATTAATTTCAAAATGTATTTTTCTCAACACATCTTCGCAACCTAGATCGATTCTGTCAGCATCTAGATACGTCGGGCGCTATCCAACGCGACACTGTTTCTTCCCTTTATAGCTATTCGCGAGATAACCGAGCCGTGCATCATTACTTTCATAGACACTTCTAACGAGTGAAAACTGACAGCTCATTCCCGTAAGCGATAGATGAAGTTAACTGGAGTTTCTGTCGCGCGATGGCCGCCGAGTATACTCGGTGTTAACCGACGGTGGTGGAGATGCGATCCTGCGTAGAATATTTTTGTGAAATGCTTCCTTTGAGCGCCGGAGTATCAAACGAACGGCAGTGGCGTAACATTACTCACGATTCTGTTCGAACGAGCGTAAACGGAAAAGTGTGAGAAGACGAGTACCGAGATCCACAAATCTAATTTGTCAGAATGAAAGTCGAAGCGTAAACCGGTCGACGCATCGTACAGACTGACGAGAGAATTCGCTCAAAGAATATATGTTTAAGGTATGACTATGGATGTTTTTTTTTTTTTCAGTTACGATGTAAAGATAAATAAGCGAAGAAGCATACGAATGGCCACGTGCCGCGGATGTTTGACTCGCAATCTGTTATGCACTTACAAAAATAAAAAGAATGAACGGGAGGGGGGGATGTATCGGGAATTGGAAAATCGGGAAAGGTGAAGTCAAGATATATATATCCGCTTGTAAATTTACTTTTCGAAGATCTTCTAACGCTTCATTTGAATGAAAAGAGACTTGGCTCTTTGGCGAGTACGAATCGTTCAAATATTGAAAATTGCGAATTGGATGTCTAAGGCACTTCGATCGTACGTACGATACACGCTTAACGCGTCTAAACAAATCGAAGTCAGACAGTGAGATAAATCTCGCGTTTCGCCATCCGATGTAGGTTCTTCAAAGCATACCCTGAGGGTAGTGAGAAATCGCGAGGAGGCTTCCGGCAACATGTAACTGCACGGTATTGCGTATTGCTGGCGATAATGCTTAGCGATCGTATACTTCCGAGCGATATCGTTAAAATAGCTGTGTATTAAAGCAAAACAACTTTTCAATCTTGGCTCGTCTTCAAAATACATACGTAATGACGTCTAAGTATACGTTAAAGTTTACGTGGACGTGGATGTGGATATTAACGAAAAACATGACGGAGCGAATACGTTACGAGTAACTGCGACATAATGGACTCTTCTTTCGAATCCGTCGCGATCTGTATAAAACTCCCACTTCCAAGTAAACAAAAAAAAAGCGCAAGCTCACGATCGACTCACGCTAGGTACACCTTACGCTTTATAACTTGGTTCGAAGTTAAAAGTACGGAGAATTTCCCAAGTGTTAACGGGTTCTCGCCTTATGAAGATTTGCTTACGCGACTTTTTTCACACGGAGTTTTTTAATAAAGATTATATAAAGTGTGTCTCCAATGAGCGACAGAATTGAGTAGAAAGGTTCGTGATTTTCCGCGTATGGATAAGTGCGTGTTTGCTTTGTGTATTTGTGTGTATGTACATGCGCATGCGTGCGTGTGTGTGTGTGTGTGTGACGTGTGTAGCATGTGATTTTAAGATTTATTTTCACGAACGCGTGGATATCGCACGCAAATAATTGATGTGAAATGATAATACCGGTGCGTAGTATAAACGACGAAGCGCGTGACGCTACGTCGCCATGAAACGTCGCGATTTAAGCTCATATCGTACATATAACTAGAATCAAAAGAATAAAGTGACCGGGCCTGCAGCCAATCGTCGTCATCTCGCGTAAATTATCTCTATTTAAAGTGGAAATACTACCTGGTACTCTCGAAGATATAATTTTAGCCTTGCCATTCAATTCTGCGTCTTCTAGCGAACGTAAGCCTTCGAATTTACGTAGTAACGTCCTGTAATATTACTGCGTAATACATACTGTAATATATGAATATGTAAAAAATATGATAAAAGATATGACGTTTAATTTACAGAGCAACGACTGATCGAGATATATATAATATATATAAATATATAAATATATAAATAAATATCTATGTTCGCGCGAGCGCACACGCGTATTACTTAACGAATAGGAATTGAAAAGTGTGGCTCTTTTCGTTCGTGACGTCTATACTTCCAAAACGCCGGACGCAAGTGCACGTGCATTTCGTTTCATTTCTACGTCTACTTACGAAGCCGCTGGGCTCTCGCTCTACTTAGAAGTAAGCATAGCTCTAGATTAATCATAATAATGTATTAGGCTGATTGTGATAAACGGCGACAATAGCTTCCTTTTTGTCAGAAATGATGAGACTCCATCTGCCTCCCGTCTGATCGCTTTTCGAACAAGAAGCAACATATCATGTGCTTTAAGGAATTATATCGAAAAGATATTTGCAAACTCGCACCGCATATTTTTTTTTTTCCTCGGTACGGTGAAATAATTTTCTCTAATTGTTACCATATGCCAGGTAGAATTCACGGGAATGCAAAATAATATCGTTCGAAAAATTGGAAAGAAAGATAAGCGATATGGTACGATGGAATTGCGCAACATTCCTTGGCAAGTGTCAATATTAACGTAAGGATCAGTTAATTCGATTTAATTGACTCGCGGGTGAACTCTCGTCACTTCTGACGACATTGTTGCTGAAATAATGACGGCAATATCGGATACGCTTGCGCTATCTAATTATGACAGTGGTCGTCGTTCTACTCATACGACATGACTAATAAAATATAACATTTTGTTCACACGCGTTCATTTTTTTACGTGAATCTGTGAAGAAGCGGAAGCGACGAAATATAGTTTGCTTTGATTGCATTCACGGCGATTTCCAAGCGAACCCTTGACTCTGATAGACTCTCCAAATCGAGAGACGGTAAAGAATTCATCGTGTCGATGTCTATCGCGAGCGCTGAATCTGTGAGTCGTATAAATAAATGTCGACGTCCGACCGAGTACACAGTTAAAAATTCCAATTAATGAAACACGAACGTTGCCCGATGACTAATGCAAGAAAATCGATATAGCGTAATTCGGACACTGATTAGACACGATTGTTAGACTCTACATTGACCCATTAATAATATCTCGTTGGAGTGTCGGGAGACCGATCGAAAACGATTTGTCCTTGTCTAACGACGACGCGAAATAAACCTCGGCGATATACCTTGCGAAATGTTCGGTAGATAACGCTAGGTTGATCATTTAATGCTTGCTGTAAATCAACGAGCAGTCGTATTAACGATCGCGTAGTAACACATCTTCCCGCATCATGTAAGCGCAATTGTACAGGTGGACGCTGATAACATAATCAGGAGTGCGTCGAAGAGAAATAGAGATAGAGATAGAATGTTTGCCAAGGAGAAGTTACATCGAGAAGCAGATGGTGATTGGCGAAATGGAGATATACGGCGAGTTAAATCATGAGACGGCGCAACAATCCAGTCGATAAATCCGTTGACATAAATGACAGGTATGTTTGCTCGCGAGTCTCTTACGAAAGTCTTTCGGGTAATGGGAGGGCAAGCTGAAGGGAAAGAAAGGAAAGCAACGAGGGGTAGAGAACAAGCGAAGGGGGATGTGTATTTTACAACGATGCTCCGTGCGTATCAGAGTGTACACATACACATATACATATCTTCGAGGTCATAAAGTGAAATAAATGACGGAAAAGTTTGAGGAAATTTGCTTGAATCGTCTGTGTGCTTCGTGAATTTTCAACATCTCTCTTTTCCTCTCTTTCTCTCTCTCTTTCACTTCCCCCTCCCCCTCCTTCTCCCTCGTCACTCCCGTGGCTCACCCGGAATTGTGGGTGCGCAAGTAACGCCGTCTCTTTCTCTCTCTCCCGTTTTCCACTCATAGTCGCACTCCGTTAACACCATTTGTCATCTGACTTTTCCGATTACCATCTATCACCGGCAACCCCCCTCCCCCCCTCCGCGTATATACAAGAGACATCCAAAAGACACGATATAAAAAAAGGACCCCTTATGAAAAACGTCCGAGGGAACGTCCTGAAAAATTAGGAGGCGTATTTCACGTTCGCGACTAAATGTAGACATCCTGCGTGGCTCGACGTGTGACATCGTCTCTCCTCCCCGCTGTCGAAGGGATAAAACTCTCTCTCTCTCGCGCGCGCGCGCTCGTCGATCGCAGAAGGTGCGATCGTATTTAGCGCTAAACTGCGGACTGCGGGTGAACCGGAAGATCCGGGACTTCCCCTGGACGTTTTTACGAGCACCACGAGATTCCTGGTGGTCGCGGTGGCCGCGCTTGATATACGTTTACCGTGAGGGAAAAACGATATATTACGTGTGGGCTGCAGTGGAGGGATGCGCCAAAATCGTCACGCGCGAGACGTGTTTGACGAAGCCGAATGCAATCGATATTCCGCATTTTCGCTACGATATTCCACGAGATCGTTTATGTATTACGAGTTAATAGCGCCGCGTTGCGACACCGAGATTGCCATGGAACATCCGCTAACGCAATTATAAAGCACCAAATTACGAGCGGCGGCGTACAACTAGTATTTCACCCTGTCCCGCCGCATACCAGTCCGAGCACGTACTGCAACTAAAACCGAGAAATGCATTCCTCTGGATATTAATGTGGCCCATTTACTTATCGCGTAGCGTCGCTCGTCTTATCGTGTACAGACCGCGCCAGACTCGGACGGCGTTTCACGGAGCGGGTTGTTCTCTTCGCGCTAAGCAACGGAATCGATTCCGCAAAAGTAACGAACGAGGGAAGGAATCCTGCAACGATTTTATATGCGATCATCGTGGGGCGCTACTTGCACGGGATAAAAAATCCAATCAATTTAGACTCGGCTCGATTGATTGTATCGAACCGTGCCGAACGAGTTGAAGCACCGTCGAAATGCAAGGAACATTTCGCGAGTGAAGAACGGCGCGATCGCAGCGAGAAGTAATTCCAGGAGTTCGAATGTTTATCTCCGTTTTATTAGAGCTACGAGATAGGATTACCTAAATGCGGACTATGTGTGTTTGCGAAGAAGCCGTGGATCTATGCATTACTAACAACGATGCACTTTCTTCTTCTCTACCTAAGAACCTTTCAGAAAGTTGTACGCCGAGTATGATACTTTGAGAATCTGCAAAGTAGATAGCACACTTAAGCTTCCTCGAATTGTCGTGCTAAAATATTTTCATCTTCAACTCCGTCTAATTTCGAGTATACTAACGCTCGTGAAGGAGTCGTTGGTTAAAGTCACTAAGTAACCGCTCGACATCTTGAAGGGCTTAGAGGCGCGCATCATTATTATTGCGAGATCTTTCATTACTCGAACTCGCAATCTTGTCCAGTCCATCTCGTAAACAGCATTGCAAACTTCAACGCTCTACAAGAAATTAATTAAAATCATGATTAATGATAACTTATTATATTTCCGGTTGATAACTCTTCTACGCGATGTCGTCTCGAAAACATTTTAGTTATTGAAAATCATCACTAAATAAATTCATCCAGTGCAGTACAGATGATCAATTAAGAAATATTATTAAACTATTTTTTTTCTCTTGGAAAATAAGATAAAATTCCATAGATGATGAATGGAGAAATATTAAAGGAAAATGTGACATCAGTATATTGGGCCTTGAACCTCGAATTTTAAACATGTCACTACAACAGTTGTCACGTACTTATAGATTAGGCTACTCTGAACAAAAAAGTCCTTTACCATTTTGCAAATAACACACAAATTTTTTGAGTTATTATTTAAAGAAGCCTCTATATGTGGTCATTTTCAATAATTAATAATTCGAAATTTTGCATGTTGTTTAAAAATAGTAGAGGATTTTCTTGTTCACTTCAATCCGCTCTACTCCTTTACAAAACTTATGATACTCTGAGACATCCTTGATTGTATGTATTCATGTGACAATACGCACAAATTTAAAAAAAAATGTAGAAGTATATATAATTAAATGCTAAAACGTATCTTAAAAACGTTCCGAAGTGTTCGGAAGTAAAAAGGCGTAATAATAAATGCCAGTTAGCATATTAACATCATTATATAACGGCGAGCTACTAAATAAATGATTTCATAAAAAATCACTAGAATTCGTCATCTAATAGCGGGGATTAAGGAGTGCCATAATACCTATAAGGGCCATAATATCACCTTCTCCTCTATTAGATATATTATTAAACTATTACTAGTAATACTACCTTTTATCTTTCTTGAGAAAATAAATATAACGAATTACTGGTGAAACATCGATTCAGAAAACGCTAGAAGAAATAACGGATAATCTCTACCTTCAGCATCACCTCGTTCCCGTACCAGCAATAAAGAAATAACTGCATCAGCATCGAAGCCAGGTAAGAAAAAATATGTGCGAAACGAAACGTGAGTAGTGACTCCATGTTGGATATCCTATAGACGCTCATGCAGAGAACAAGTAAGCTCAAAGAGAATTGGGCGAACATCATCAGCGTGAAGACAGCATTAACCGTGTACGCCAATCTGCGGGTTTCGTGGACATTCTGTTACTGTTTCTATAAATTACTTCTGCACAAAGCGTGCAGAAGTGCACGCGTGATTGAGCAAATGGGAGATAAATAGAAACAAGTAAAAATGAATTTCCACAATTTTCCCAAAGGGACACTGTAAGACGGATAATTACTGAATTTTATTTCTAACAATTCGTTCGCCGGCAAGTACTCACTTGTACACATAGAGATGATGTTGTATCAAATCGCGAATAATTAGTCTTTCACGGGCCCTCAAATCTTGTTCTGATACGCTCTTCTTCTCAGCTTCCATTAGCAACGCCGGCAATATATGAGCGCGATGACACAGAATCTCGTATTGAGCGCAGACTTGGATCATCATGCCGGCGATCAGGGTTTCGTGCGCGACGCTGCAATTGGCGCACAGACATAAAGCCACCGACTGATAGATTAATATGGGCAGGAAAGCGGCCAATGACGAGAGATCAAAGGGCGCCCATTTATACACCGGCAAGGTGCGTGTCTTCAGGAGCGGGTAGAACTGCGCGAAGGTCGCCATAAACGTGCAAAACTCGTTCAGGACCTCGCAAGCGATCGTGACCTGTCTGGAGAATTTGAATTAACCGAAATACGCTTACGGGGAGGCTCGGTAAATTTATTTCTTGTTTCTCATCGATCGTTTATTGCTCATTGATGTTTATCTTAGAATGAATGATTAAATTTAAAATGAATTATTGATAGCTTATTTAACGAACGCGAGTGACATTTTAATGAAAACAGAAAGAACTGTCATCGCATTTATTAGTCTACGTTTGAGTTACCCAAGTGCACTGATGAAATGTCAATATCACAAAAATCTCTTTCTCCATGTCCATATCACAAAAATCTCTAATTATTGAGAAATTATTAATTTCGATTTTATATGGGATTATTGCATTTTTCTCTTTTTTATTCGCAGAATGCGAGTCGAATATTTTAATAAAACAAAAAGAGGGCGAGACCAACACGGTAAATTTTTTAATAACGTAAGAGAGAAAAAGAAATAAGGAAAGAGGAGATTGATCTTAGAAATGAACAGTGTTACTTTAAATTTGGCACTTCCAACTTCGCTCGATGCACAAATGTACCTCGCATTTCGATCGAACTTCTCCTGGATCGACTCTTCGTTAGCGTCCCGGGGTATGCAGTTCTTCTTCAGCAGCATCTCGCCCAGACCGATGATCCGCCGGCGCCGTATGAAGAGGTGCAAGAGCTTGATGGATACGCCGAAGATCGAGAGGAACAGATATAACTTGTCCAGGAATTCTTGCAGGCTGTGCGACAGGAAGGTATCCACCAGCCCGTAGACCGCGAACGACTGCAGCAGCGTGAACATGAAGCTGGCGTAAACGTTGTACATCCAATACTTGATCGAGTTCGCCGACCAATACACCGGTCGCCAACAGCCGGTATAGGTGAATAAAGCAAATGACATCGGAAGTATGTGCATCTTCCTGCTGGCCTGTCGCAGCTAGTTATGTCTCGATCACCGTCGTCGCGATAATTTGCATAATATTCCTCCTCGGAAATTTCTCTCGAAGATGTTACATCCGGAGTAATTGTATCGTGCTCCCCTGTTATCGACGGTCTCTACGCGCTGTGTGCCGTTATTATTGTTGCTACAAATAATATAATTCCCTCGAGAGACGGGGCATTTCAAGAAAATAAAATGCCACGCCAAACAGGAGGTCTTGCAAAGAGAATACGACCCGAGAGCGATACCGATAGCGACAACTCCGCGACGCGTTTTTCTTTCGAATACCCTTTTCTTTTCCCGTGTGTATATATTTCTTTTTTATTATCTTCTATTGTGTGTCTTCCTCAGCATTATTAAAAAACTTCCTCGTTTCAATGATAGAGACGTATCATTAATGTTCGCGGACACTACGTCCTCCCGTATTATACATGATCAATACTCCGGCCATAATACACGCAGTCGAACGAAATTATTCATCTACAAAATAGCTCCAGCGGCATTATCGCGTAATTATTCGCAGCAATTAAGAATGGTATTATTAAAAATAGTTAAGCAAGTTATAAGACTAAGCAGGAAAAAGAAAAGAGCGTCGAAACCATGTATGAACATAATCTACTACGTAATTTCTACAATACAATTACTGCACCTCGGATCGCCCTTTCATTACATCTCTTACTTTTCGAATGGAAAAGTCGTCCTGCAAAGCTGCAAATTGTAAAATACTTAAAAGTGAATCAGGAAGTGGAAGCAATCTGGACACGGGACGACGCACAATGGGACCGAAGCTATCAAAATCAAACAGAAAGTAAGAAAAAAAATGAAATCTCAAAAAAAGCATATTGATTCTGGTAAAAGCTGACCAAAATGATCTATATATAGAATTTCACAAGGAATTGTTGAAGAGAGAACTACCTGTACTTTATCTTCACGTACATTCATGACTAAATCCTAGCCACCTAGGCAATTTTTTTGTAACGTCGACGTAGATTTGTAACAAAATTTATTTTAAATGTGAACCTAATCTATCTTCCAATATGAGCAAATACAGTCATAGTCTTAAATGCACCTTCAGATGCTACGTAACCAATGAAATGAGCCATACAGAATCCAGTGATGCATTGTTGAGGGAATGTCCTACCTCCACATTCGATCAACGCCGACACTAACTTATGCATAACATATCCATGTAGCCAAGCAAAGCTCCTTGAAATTCACGTGTCTTTGGAAAGCGAAGTGAGCCAAGTTGGCCGAGCGATATGAGAAGCGCGAAAGAGTGAGCCCCTTTACACAATTCAGTACAACCAGCGAGCTGTAAATAGCTGTAAATAGCTCGAGACGGCAATCGCACTTTGGACATTTAATAATCGCCCTATGATCGCTCATTTTTATATCCGATCATCTTGCCACTTGCATGGAATAAAAATTCAATCAATTTGGACTCGGTTCGATTGATCATATCGACCCGTGCCGAATGAGTTCAAGCACCGTCGAAATGCAAGGAAGATATCGCGAATGAAGAACGGTGTGATTGTAAGCAGGAAGTAATTCCATTACAAGGTTTATTTCTGTTTTATTAAAGCAACGAGGAGATGATTACCTAAATGCAGACGATGTGTGTTTGTAAAGGAGTCGTTGAGTTATACGTTGTTAAATATAATGCATTTTCTTCTTTTCTTACGAATCTTTCAGAAAGTTATACGCCGAGTAGGATACTTTCAGAATCTGCAAAGTAGATACTGTACTTGAACTCCCTCGAATCGTCTTGCCAAAATATTTTCATCCTCGACTCAGTATAATTTCGAGTATACTGACGCTCGTAAAGGAGTCGGTGGTTAAAGTCACCATATGACCGCTTGACATCCTGAAGGGTTTAGAGGCGCGCATCATTATTATTGTGAGATCCTTCATTACTCGGACTCGCAACGTTGTCCAGTTCATTTCGTAAACAGCATTGCGAACTTCGGCGCTCTACAAGAAAAAAAGTAGAATCATAATAATTTATTATATTTCCAGTTAATAACTCTTCTACGAGAGGCCCAAAACATTTAACTATTGAAAATCATTACTGAATAAATTCACCTGGTGCAAACTATAGATGATCAATTAAGAAATGTCATTAAACAATCAATTTCTTTTTTCTATCTCAAAAAATAAATATAACGATTTACTGGTGAAACATCGATTCAAGAAATGCGTGATAACAAATGATCTCTACCTTCAGCGTCACCTCGTTCCCGTACCAGCAATAAAGAAATAACTGTATCAGCATCGAAGCCAGGTAAGAAAAAGTATACGCGAAATGAAACGTGAGTAGCGATTCCATGTGGGATACCTTATAAACGCTCATGCAGAGAACAAATGAGCTCAAGGAGAACTGAATGAACAACATCAACGTGAAGACAGCATTAACTGTGTATGCAAATCTGCGGATATTACGTGGACACTCTGTTATCGTTTCTACAAATTATTTTTTTACAAAGCGCACCCGCGAGCGAGTGGAAGATAAATAGAGATAAATATAAGTAATTTTTCGCAGTTTCCGCAAAAGGGTGCTATAAGACGAATAATTGCTGAATTTTATTTCTAACAGTCCGTTCGCCGGCAAGTACTCACTTGTACACGTACAGATGATGCTGTATTAAATCGCGAATAATCAGTCTTTCACGTGCTCTTAGATCCTGTTCCGACACGCTTTTCTTCTCAGCTCCCATCAGCAACGTCGGTAATATATGAGCGCGATGGCACAGAATCTCAAATTGTGCGCAAATTTGAATCATCATGCCGGCGATCAGGGTCTCGTGTGCGACGCTGGAATTGGCGCACAGACATAAAGCCACTGACTGATAGATCAGCATGGATACGAAGGCGGCCAAAGACGAGAGATCAAAGGGCGCCCAATTGTATACCGGCAATGTGCGCGTCTTCAGGAACGGATAGAACTGCGCGAAGGTCGCCATAAATGCGCAAAACTCGTTCAGGATCTCGCAACCGATCGCGACCTGTCTGGGGAACTTTAATTATGTGATGTGCGCTTACGGAGAGGCTCGGTAGAAATTTATTTCTTATTTTTTATCGATTGTTCATCCCTCATTGATGTTTATCTTAAAAGGAATTATTAAGTTTAAAATGAATTATTGATACCCTATTCAACAAACGCGAGCCGCATTTTAATAAAAACAAAGAGACCAACATCGCGTTCAGGTCTACGTTCGAATTATCCAAGTGCACTCACGGAATGTCCATATCACAAAAATCCCTTTTAATTATCGAGAAATTATTCATTTTGATTCTAAGAGGAATTATTAAATTTTGTCTTTTTTATTCGCAGAATGCGAGTTGAATATTTAAATAAAACAAAAGGAGGGAGAAACCAACACGGTAAATTTTTTAATAAGACGTAGTAAGGGAACTGGGACCGTTTCGATACTATCCATACATTTCTGTCTGAAATTGATACTTTTGTATCAATTCGTCCTAAGATATATAAATGAATAATTTTAGATGCATTGCAACATGCGACGTCGTATCAATACATATCAATTAGATATTAAGTTTGATACCTGTTCAAATATAATTCACAATTTGTCAGAAATAAAATTAATATTCATAAATTAATACAGTAAAGAAATAATTATAATAACGGTTAATAACGATAAGAAACGATTAATAAGGATAAAATCACATTTATTGTGATAGATCCATGATTTTTTTCGTAATTTTTTCATTAATCATTTTTACATTAATTCTTATTATAATGTTTTCGTCAACGTTAAAAGATCAGCGTACGATTGACATCGAGTATATGTGACAACAGACAGTTTGTCTTGTTGATGTCTCTATTACTACTTAATAATTATATCGATTCGATATTAAATGAAATGTTAAAAAATTTATCTTACTTATACCAATAATAACTTATTTCGATGCCGATTTCATAACATAATACGATGCTTGGAAATTGATACATATTGATATTAATAAATACATCATTCAATCGGCCCCATTATTAGTAAAGAAAAGGAAAGAGAAAGGGAGAAAGAGAAAGAGAAAGAGAGAAGATTGATTTTTAAAACAAACAAAGTTATTTCGTTAGCTTCGGCAATCAATTCGTTCAATGGACAAAAGTACCTCGCGTTTCGATCGAATTTCTTCTGGATCGACGCTTCGTCAGCGTCCCGGGGTATGCAGTTCTCCTTCAGCAGCATCTCGCCCAGACCGATAATTTGCCGGCGTCGTATAAAGAGGTGCACGAGCTTGATGGAGACGCCGAAAACTGAGAGGAACAGGTATAACTTGTCCACGAATTCCTGCAGGCTGTCCGACAGGAGGGTGTCCACCAGCCCGTAGACCACGAACGACTGCAGCAGCGTGAACATGAAGCTGGTGTACACGTTGTACATCCAATACTTGATCGAGTTCACCGGCCAATACACCGGTCGCCAATAGCCGGTGTAGGTGAACAGAGCGAACGACACCGGAAGTATGTGCATCCTCCTGCTGGTCTGCCGTGGCTACTTATGTCTCGATCACCGTCGTCGCTCGCATATAGATAATTTGCGTAATAGCCTTCCTCGCTCGGGAACTTCTCCCTGAAGAAATTATACCCGGAGCAATCGTGTCGCACTGCCCTGTCGTCGACAGTTTCTACGCGCCGTGTGCCGTTATCGTTGTTGGTACAAATAACATAATTTCCTCGAGGGACAGAGCAATTCGAGGAAATAAAACGCCGCACTGGACAAGCGGTTTCGCAACCGAGGACACCGAGGACCGGGAGCGATATGAATAACTCCGCGACGTGGTACGTTTTTCTTTCATCTTTCCCTTTCTCTTTTTCCGTGTGTATTTTCTTTTTATTATCTTCCGCTGCCTCTCTCGACATCGTTAAACTCCACCTCGTCCCGATAATACAGGCGTACTATTAATGTTTGCAGACATTACGTCCTTCTGCGTTATGCATATATAATCATTACCTCGGCCATCTTTATACGCAGCCGAACGAAATTATTCATCTACAAAATTGCTCCATTACCACATCATTAATCGCAACAGTTAAGAACAGTATTATTAAGAATCGTTATGCGGGGGTATCGGCGGGAGGAAGAGAGGAACGGCGAAACTGCGTCGCATATGTACATATTCCACATACTTTCTACGATATACTTACCGCATCCGGTATATTTTCTGCTCGTCCGCGCTCTTTTCATTACATCTCTCACTTTTCGAATAGAAAAAGTCATCCTGCGAAGCTGCAAGTTGCAAAATTCTGCATGGTGAGTCGGGAAGTGGAAGCAGCCTGGACGCGGAACGACGGGTGATTTGAATAAAAGTGAATAGCATGTTCTTTTTTCTTTTCCTTCCCTCTTTTTTCTCATTGGTGCGTCGTGCGAAAACGAATATGTAAAATATAATATGTACAAATATGTGTATAAAGTAATTTAATATCACTGTCTCGAGACGATGCATAATTGTGCCAGCGATTCTCGACACCTTTTTGTCCGAGTCCTTTAGTTCATGCAGCACATATCGCAAGCGATTAAACACAGAAGGAACAACACAGGGATAGAGTGGGAATTTCGATAAAATGAATGAAATATTCCTTTTTTCTTTTCCTATCTTTATTGGTGCATTGCGTAAAAATAAACATGTAAAAAATATAATTTAACATCATCGTCAAGAAGGGTGATGCACAATTGCGTCTAGTTAGTACCGTCCGGTCGCGATCTACCAGCAACCTTAGGCATCTTCTTGTTCGTCGAGTCCTCCAGTTCTTTAGGCTTGTAATAATGTGGCGCCACTTCCAACAACCATTTACTCTCGATCTCCGTCACCTGTATGACAAACAAACACGCATACATCTGAGACGTAACTTCGTTCAACTGCAACTTGATATCCCAGCTTGAAGGAAATAACTCGCAGTTCATTGACATTATCGTTGACATACCTGACGCATAAACTCCTTGGTGGTGAATACAAGCTCGTGATAAAGCAGCCAACGCGGAAGTTCTTGAAACAGGGAACTGTTCGGATGTATCGCGACCGTTTGATTGTGCTTAGCGGTCTTGTAGTGACCGCCCTTGGACAAGCGTGCCACGTGGTAGAAATATCCAGCTGTAATAGCCTAAAACAAAGGCCGCAGTGTTACTTCACGAAGAAGTAACGATAACGTCGGTGTTTCTGCTGTGTAATATTAACAAACCTTCCTAATGTTAATAGTCTCTGTAATCCCTGAGACTAATTCCATTTCTACGCGCTGCATCAGACCTACTAGCTGTTCTCTGACATCCCTCGCCCGTTTCATGGACCTGAAACGACCGGTTGCAACGAGACATGTAATGCGAGACATGTTAAAATCACGTGATCCCCATACGTACCTGTGCTGTATGAAGTTCTCGTAGCACCAGTGTGTGCTAAAGTCGCTCTGTTGCCATTGATTATATACGTTGAGAAGAGTTAGATGATCGCCACCAGGCACGTGGAAATTCTTTCGCGCGGCGTCCGCGTGTATAATCTTGTCCTTTGGTCTGTAAAAGATCGCTCCGTTCACTGAGAGCATGGCGGCAATGGTCGCCACTTCTTCTGAGCAGCGATACCGCTCGCTAGCCAATAACATCTTCGCCATCATCGGGTCTAATGGGAACTCTGCCATCCTGCGCCCGAGTTTCGTCAATTCCCCGCGATGATTCAACGCGCCCAGCGCATACAGCTGCTCCAACGCAAGGACCAGCGTCTCATGCGGCGGAGGATCCAAGAAGTCGAAGTGTACCAGGTCGTTAATACCGAGTGCTTTCAAAGTGAGCACCGCATTACCTGCGAACGTGAATGAAGCATTTGGCAGAATTAAATCTAATCCAAAAATCCAAGTTACCATGCTGTGAGAAAGAGACCGATAAGATCGTTGCTTCCTACCGAGATTGATCCTCTGAATTTCGGGGACCGTATTATCCTCGAGCTCATGTTGGTACGCCCACGCGGTATACAAGCGGAAACACTTTCCCGGAGCAACTCGACCTGCTCGGCCGGCTCTCTGATTTGCGGATGCCTTGCTAATCGGAACGACCATCAGACTCTCCATGCCTGTGCGCGAATTGAAATTGTTTTGCTTCGCGAATCCAGGGTCTATAACGTACACTATGTTATCAATGGTTAGCGAAGTCTCTGCTATGTTCGTCGCCAATACAACCTAGTGAATAAATGAGAGCAAAGATTCAGTGTGCAAGGTGGTTTTGAGAGAAATCAACTTGTAGAATAGTCGAAGAAGCAAGTTACCTTTCTCGCTCCTGCTGGAGTCGGCTGGAATATTTTCGTTTGCATGTCGCTCGGTAGATTCGCGTACACGGGCAAAATCAGGAGTTCCGCCAGCTTGCTTCCCAGCCTCCTGACTCTCTCCTGCAGCATCTCCTGGCACGTCTCGATCTCGTCCTGTCCTGTACACGAAAGTACATATTATGTAACGTTGTTTTAGGTATAACGCAGCACCATCTCCATCATACGCTTACCGGTCAAAAATACTAGTATATCGCCAGGCGGTTGTGTCGTGTGAATTTGCAGAATGGACACCACGCAAGCGTCAATATAATCCGCTTCCGGCGCTTTCGTGTAATAAATGTCAACGGGAAAACGACGGCCGGGTATCCTGTATATAGGAGCTTCGTCGAAGAACTCGCTGAACTTGGTGGCGTCCAACGTGGCCGACGAGATCAAGAGCTTCAAGTCGGAACGAAACCTCGCTATGTCCTTCACCAATCCGAATAATATGTCCGTGTGCAAAGTACGTTCGTGCGCCTCATCAATTATCATTACGCTATAGAACACATAATAAATTAATAAAAATTACCACAGTTTGATGTTGCATAGAGATTCCACACGTGAACGATAATAACTCCATAACTTAGAATGTTAATAACTTAAAAACACAGTAAATATTCTCCAAGATTATTATCTGCTTTCTCTATTGTGTTCGTGTGAGTCTCGTTTATCATTTTTCTCTTACTTACCTGTACGACGCTAGATCGGGTTCGCTGAGAAACTCTCGGTGTAACGTACCGTCAGTCATGTATTTAATACGAGTACGATGCGATGTGCAGTCTTCGAAACGAATAGCGTAACCGACCTCGTTTCCCAGCTTAACAGCCATCTCGTGGGCCACTCTCGCGGCCACCGACATCGCGGCTACTCGCCGCGGTTGTGTGCATCCGATTATCTTATTATCCTCTGCGAACCCAGATTCATACAGATATTGCGGTATCTGTGTGGTCTTCCCTGATCCCGTTTCACCTTCAATAATCAAAACCTGATATTCAAATGTGACATCTCTGGTACACTACAGCAGCGTTTGTTGAGTGACACTCCAAAGTCGACTCTACTCACCTGGTGGTCCTTGATGGCTTGGATAAGATCGTTCCTGAAGGGGTAAATTGGTAGACTCTTCTTCGTTTCTTGTATCGTTTGCAGAGTTTTAACATGTGCTGGTGGACTGGCCTCGCGTTTCTTGTCCTTGTCATGACCAGGCATGCGTAACGCTTGAACGAACTCTATCTCATCCTCCATGAGAAGATCATAGTCTTGCTGAGCTGTACACAATAAAGGATTGAAATCTTAAGTCATAATAAGAAAAAAAACAATTACATGAACAATTATTGATGCAATAATTCATCATATACCTTTTCTATCTCTAGCACCAAAACGGAACACAGCCGATGACATCTGATCTGATTCCCATTTGCTTTGTTCAGATTGTGGTGGCTCTTTATCCATTACGTCAGGTTCTGGCTCTATCTTGCCTTCTCTAAGGGGCATGTGGTAACGCTGGACGCGTTCAAGTTCTCTTGCCTTTTCATGTTCCTTTGCTAGATGCAATAGTTGTTTCTTATGAGCTCTTTCGCGCTTTTCTCTCTCTGTCAAGCTATATTAAAACAGACGATTATTTAATGAATTATTTCATCTTGAAATTTAAATTAAAATCAAGTTTTTTTCTCTAAATAATTACATTTCTTCTTCGAACAGATATTCATCGTCAAGAATGTCAGCCTCCAGTTCAGCCACTTTGTCTTCTTTACGTTTCTCCAGATATTTTCTACGAGACTCAATACGTAACTTTGGTACCAGATGTTCCCTGGCATCAGTCTCCATGATCTTAAGCCTTTTTGCTGCTTCAGCTATGAGAAATAACAGACAGTAAGTAAGTATGATAAATGTTTAGCTTAACAAGATACTTTAACAGTTCACTGATATATAACTGTTTTGTTTTATATGCTTAATCCGGGAATAGCAACTCATTTTTTTTTACGTAAACGATCACAAATGATTTTGATTTGATGTGCTTATTCCATTTCTTAAATGTCTTTTGGTTTCTCCTTATTTTTTTCAAAAAGTAGCAAGTAAATCTATATTTATAATATCTCCAAATAATAATAAATCATAGAGCAATCGATAATATGTAATATTTTTTAATAATATAATATTAATAATAGCAACTTTTAATTAGAATCTAATAATTCAAAATAATTATTCTCGGTGTAATACCAACAGATAATCCCATTGTAACTCACCTGCTCCAGAACCAGACGGCATAGCAATCTTACGTATCTTGCTTTCATCTTTGGCTTTAAGACGACTGGCAAAACTGTCTCTTTCCTTGATGTCTTTCTTGCGACGTTCTTCCTCGCTATCGCTGTCATCACTCGAAGTCTCTTCACGTCTATATTTACTCATTTTAAAAGATAGGTTAGCTTCAAACCTAAAATAAATGTATTACAAATCCACGTCAACGTTACAGGGAAACTTAGTAATAAACAACAGATGTATATGCACAAACAAAAATATAGCTTATACCTAAAACTGTAATGTAACTTTTATATGTACAATGTTTAATTTATTTTGATCCAATCTTTAAAAGCGTGATCTCTCTCTCTCTCTCCTTCTCCAGTAAAACCAGCAGCACACGTTGCTTGTTTTCGCGATTGCTTGCTTGCCGGATGGAAATATTGCCTTCTGATTGGTGTATCGTCATCCATTTTTGGAAATACACCAATCAGAACGCAGTATTTCCATCCAACAAGCAATCCAGCACGAAACAAGCATCATGTACCGCTGTAATTATTCGCGTAATATATCTTTCTTTTAGTCAAGGCCAGACAATTAGATTATTAATATATCGACTTTCTTACGTTTTTTATTTTTTATTCATTATAGATTACTCGCACTACCTTATTCCGTTTATATATGTATGTGTATCTATAGATTAGGCTAACATTACTTTTAAGTTCTTTACTATACAATCAACAATTGTTTTTCTTTATAGCATCATTATTTTTGTTTTATTCCTTCTCGGTACGTTGATAGGATTTATTATTTGTAATTTTTGATTACGTTAGCATTTTTTTCTCTTCAAGAGTTTTAATTTTTAATAAATCGAGATTCGCTTATCGGATTTTGTGAATACTCGTCTCATTTTGAAGCTTTCCTACCTTCACACTTAGCGTCTGAAGCGAGCGTCCGGCGACACGAGCATCTTTTCGGGAACGACAGCTCTATCGGGGAGGGAATCCCCCTGCGTACCTCCTAACATTAAAGGCATATCTGGAGAGACTTGGCCGGTCCAGCTTTTTAGGCCTAGAGTTTGGGCGAGTTTCCAAAAACGCCCTGGCGACCGTGTATTGGTAGCGGGATCTGGGAAGAGGTCAACCCCTGGACGGTCTGTGTGGTTCGGACGACTTAACGTCGACTTTATCTACTCGTTTAGTGACATTCGGTCACACGGTTCGCCGTTGAATTACTTCACGACCTCGATTTTTCATCATAACGGCAGCTCGTAACATATACGTTGGGACTATTCTCCGAAATAATGGCTGATCCGTCAGATTATCCGATTAAAATGATTAACGGCCTGCCTCGCGCCATCTAGTGGTGCGTTGCGGAAAGACCACTAGTCTGCCAGTTAAAAGTTGGTTCATGTCTCGGCTAATTGTGCACCAACTAGCTCTTCCTGTGTTTCTGATATCCTTTCACGAAAATTCACATGTTTCGTCGGACTAATAAAAGTCGGTTTGAACTCAGCCGTGCTATGGATGTACGCATTGCATCTATGTCAAGTATATTGCGTATAAGTACGATGAGGTGTACTTGAGACGGCGTATTCATTGGGCGAGACGGATGTATTCATTGCGCATATTGCATCCCGTTTACAATTCATGTCCAAAAAGTATAATTTTAGAAAACATTTTTATTGTAGAGGAATGAATTCGACGAAAAATTCATTTTAACTTGTGTCCTTTTCCAAAGATTTTAAAATTGTTATATGTACATTATATACACTATATATTATATATATATTATATATTACATTACATATGTTTTTTTTTTCATATTATATTATATCAATACCAATACCATATGATATTATACGGATATTTTGTACTCATAAAACCCTGTAATATACTAGAATGGTAAATAAGTTACTAGAATTTCGACCGGTTGAAAATCTAGTTACTTCTACAGAAGACGATATTCTGATTGGTTCTTTAGCTTAAGTTCATTCTATATACGTTTACAGCAATTGTGTGAAGGCCTTAATGCATAGGCGTACGCTAGTAGCATCATTTCGAACCAATATGCAGTCAATAAAATAAAGTCAGTGAAATGACTTTACATTCATTCAAGTAGTATAAACAGAAGCTTCTGATAAGGAAAAAATCACAGAAAACAACAACGTACAAGGGAAAAGTAATCACAGGTAATAGAAAGAAAAAGTGAAAGTTGAATTAGTTTGCATCATGTGGAACAAATATAAATTAGAAATTTAATACTAATTAAGTTTTTTATTTATATTCATACGTGAAATAAAAAGTTATACGGTTAGTATTGAATGTTGATTTTGTATGTCAAATAGGTTAAGAGACCAAATGTAACGAGAGAGAAAGAACAGAGAGCAGAGAAGTGTCAGATAGTAAAAACTATTACAATTGAAGCACACCAATCAAAAGAAAACATATATATATATATATTTAATAGATATTTCTTAATCAAGATTTATAATCAGGAAGTATTTTATAGTTAACAAGATGAGCAGTGAAGGTCAGATTGCAAGTATTATAAATGATATTTTAGTAAGTATTGAAAATCAGTATTGTATACATACTAGACATGATATACTTTCTCTAAATTTATAATTTCCTGCTTTGACAGAATATTTAATTTCAATAATATAAATTGAAATATAATGCATAATATATGTTTCTTCATGTTTATCATATTTATATTTCTCTGTAGTATTAAAGCCAAAAATATGAAATATAATATATTTATATTGTGCATTTTAGAAAGTAGAAGCAATAGAGGAGGCATTCAGCTGTGTCCTAGCTCATCATCCCAATAATAAAAATGAAAAAATAACAATATGGCAAAATGAGCTAAAAGCAGCTATGAATGGATTGACGAAGGAACAGCAGGAAGCAGCTGTTCGCCAATTCTTATCAATGGCGGCAGTTATGACTAACCACAAACGCCTACAATTATTGCTGTCGTTGCTAGAGAACTTAGTGCAGACAAATGTTCTGCCTGCTAGGTCTGCTGATATTTTCTGATGGATGAAAACTTATTTGGTATTTTTTATGCCATCAAATTATTTTTTATTATTTTTTCTCCAGGTTAGTATGTGAGAATATTTTAAGTTGTGATAAATTACAATATCAATTGGAAGATTTTTGGGTTGAATGCTTTGCTGTCCTTCGACGTATCATTGGTGGAGTTGACTACAAAGGAGTTAGAGAAATCATGAAAGTAGGTGCTTCAATATATGTGAATCAATAGAATTGTTTGAAATATTCTGATAAAACTTGTTTATGAGAATTTATCGATCATGAAATACTCATTCTATTTTGTATCTTTTATCAGGCATGCAAAGAAAAGGCCCAAACTATACCGGCTCGATTAGACATGTCGGTACAACCACAATTAAAAGCTTTAGAGAATATTCTCGAGTATATTTTCGATAGAAATTCGTGTCTACTGCCAAGTTATTTTATTGTCAATGAGATTCAGAAAGCCTATCCCGACAACAAAAATTGGCCTCACTGGGTAAATAATGTCGAATTACATTCCCATGTTATGTAATTAAATTTTACATTGAATATTCAGATTCCAAGATGTCATGTCTGTCTCAGAAATTGGCAAAACTTCTCTCCAGTTTTGTTGAGGGTTTCCGAAACACAGCACAGATGGTATCTATAGTAGGACATTCAAAGATGTTACCAGTGGTTGAGCACACAGGATATGCTGACCATTTGATTAATCCGTGGTTATTGGATCCTACCACGTTGAAGTTTTCGTTGAAAGGAAACTTACCTTACGACCCGGACTTACTTAAGCCTCAAACGGAGTTACTTAGATATGTTCTAGAGCAACCATATAGTAGGGACATGGTCTGTTCGATGCTCGGTCTACAAAAACAGGTATAAAACTGTGAACTATACCCTTATCGGTTACTGATGTAAAATATTTAATAAAGTTTCGTTATTATACACACACACACACACATACAATATAACTGACATTTCTATATAAAATAGTATCATAACATTTGTATACAGTTAATATACTCACCGTGCAATTCTCCAAATGATTTACATATATTATTATTCGTGTAACAGCATAAGCAGCGATGCATCGTTTTGGAGGAACAGCTGGTGGAGCTCGTTATACTCGCGATGGAACGATCCGAAAACGAGACCCTGCCGGCCGAAGGAACGGACGGCACAGTGGCCAATCACTGGGTGTGGTTGCACTTGTCCTCGCAACTCATTTACTTCGTTCTCTTTCAATTCGCATGCTTCCCGAGCATCGTCATGGCGATACACGATAAGTTGGCCGGCAGAGAACTGAGGAAGGGTAGGGATCATTTGATGTGGGTCCTCCTGCAATTCATCTCCGGCAGCATACAGCGGAATCCATTGTCGAATTTCTTGCCGGTGCTAAAACTGTACGATCTCCTCTACCCGGAGAAGGAACCCCTACCTGTCCCGGACTACAGTCAAGCGCTCTGCACTCACCAGATGGCCATCACATGCATATGGATCCACTTGCTGAAGAAAGCTCAGTCAGAACACTCCAACATTCATCGGCCCATACCGCATACGCTGAAGGTCCATCACGAATTCCTGCAGCATCTGGTTATGCCGAATACTTCTCTCTACATGGGTTCTGATTATCGTATAGCGTTGTTGTGCAACGCTTATTCGACGAATCAGGAGTACTTCAGTAGACCGATGGCTGCCTTGGTGGACACCATTCTAGGTACGCAAAAGGGCCAACAGCAACAACCCTTGCAAACTTTGCAGAATAACGCGGCGTTAGCGAACGGCCCGACCACGCCGTTGTCGATGTCCATTTTGGACTCGTTGACCGTGCATTCCAAGATGAGCTTGATTCACAGCATCGTCACGCATGTGATAAAGTTAGCTCAGTCCAAAAGTAACATGGCGTTGGCGCCGGCGTTGGTCGAGACCTACAGCCGACTGCTGGTTTACACGGAAATCGAAAGTCTCGGTATTAAAGGATTCATCAGTCAGCTGTTGCCGACCGTGTTCAAGTCGCACGCTTGGGGAACGCTGTACACACTGTTGGAGATGTTCAGCTACAGGATGCATCACATCCAGCCGCACTACAGGGTGCAACTGCTGTCGCATCTGCACAGTCTCGCGGCGGTACCGCAGACCAATCAGACGCAGTTGCATCTGTGTGTCGAGAGCACCGCTCTGCGGCTCATCACTGGGCTGGGTTCAGCGGAGGTACAACCGCAGCTCTCCCGATTCCTTTCGGAACCGAAGACACTTGTTTCCGCAGAGTCAGAGGAGCTTAATCGAACTTTAGTATTAACGCTGGCCCGATCCATGCACGTGACTGGCACAGGCGCCGAGACTCTCAGCGGCACCTGGTGCAAGGATTTGCTGAACACCATCATGCAGAATACACCGCACTCCTGGGCCTATCATACTCTCCAGTGCTTCCCGCCGGTGTTGAGCGAGTTCTTCCAGCAGAACAGTGTGGCGAAGGAAAACAAGCAGCAGATCAAGAAGGCGGTCGAGGAGGAATACAGGAACTGGGCTTCGATGAGCAATGAGAATGACATTATCGCCCATTTTTCTGTACCGGGCACGCCTCCGCTGTTCTTGTGTCTGCTGTGGAAAATGATCCTCGAGACCGATCGTATCAGCCCGATCGCGTACAAGATCCTGGAGAGAATCGGCGCCAGGGCGCTGTCGGCGCATCTCAGGAAATTCTGCGACTATCTTGTGTTCGAGTTCGCCAATAGTGTGGGCGGTCAACAACATGTTAACAAGTGTGTGGACACCATTAACGACATGATCTGGAAGTATAATATAGTTATCATCGACAGATTGGTGTTGTGCCTGGCGTTGAGGACGCAGGAGGGTAGCGAGGCGCAGGTGTGCTTCTTTATTATACAACTGTTGCTGTTGAAGTCCGCGGAGTTTCGGAATCGCGTGCAGGAATTCGTCAAGGAGAACTCACCGGAGCACTGGAAGCAGTCGAACTGGCATGAGAAGCATCTCGCCTTTCACAGAAAGTTTCCGGAGAAGTTCGCGCCGGAAGGCATCATGGAGCAAACCAGCGGGGGGCCCAGTCAGTACCAAAGTTTACCCGTGTACTTCGGCAACGTCTGCCTACGCTTTTTACCGGTTTTCGACATAGTGGTGCATCGTTATCTGGAGATACCACCTGTCACCAAGAGTTTGGAGACACTGTTAGAGCACTTGGGCTGCTTGTACAAATTCCACGGTATGTGTCTATTCCATCAGACGAAAAATAAAAGTCAAATAAGAGCCAGACGACAGATTCGATATTTAATGAGATTGAAGAGACTGTTTATACTTGAAAAATGTACTTTTCATTCAAGATTGAGAATCTTAGTATGTTATATTCGTCTATATTCTATGAAAGGCAGTTGGCATAAAAATTGCCAGTGCTCTTTGCATTTCTCAGCAGTCATGCGAAAATGTCTGATAAGTGCGAATGAAAACCTGCCTGATTATTGAAAGCAATTAGCGGCTTGTCAATTTTAGATCGTCCTGTGACATATCTTTATAACACACTGCATTATTATGAGAGGAAATTGCGAAACCAACCGCCGTTGAAGCGCCGGCTAGTTTCCGCCGTCTTGGGGTCGTTACGGGAGATTAGAGCGCCAGGATGGGCTCTTTCTGAGGCTTATCAAATGTACATGACTCGCTCCCTGGACGAAGTGGTCACCTGGATACCGGAATTGGACTATTACATTCGCCTAGTGCGCAGGATTGTGGAAAGTAAGACAACTAAAGTTTTGCCACACGATGATTCTCATAGTTTTATCATTTCTAGTTTCATATCTAAATACATTGTCGCGTGAAAGGGATATATATTTTTCGTTCCAGTAGAAAGTATATTGTTTTAATTAAACACGTATATGTTAAAGCAATGTCAGGTACGGCTCACTTCCCTGCTACCGACTGGAGATTTAATGAATTTCCAAATCCAGCGGCACATGCGTTATACGTCACCTGCGTGGAACTCATGGCCGTTCCGGTTGCGCCGAATTTGGTAGCTAATTCTTTGCTGGACGTAGTCGCTAAAGGGTACGGGTCCTTCGGAATTGGGAAAATCCCAATATATTGCACAACTTCTGTGCAGTCTTATTCATTATGTATCATCGGTTTAGATACACCGTTGTGCCGTCGGACGAAATACATTTGTGGATAAATTGCGTCGGCTTATTACTGGCAGCATTGCCAGAATGTTATTGGTCACCATTGCATGACCGTTTGGTGGAAACTATCAACAGTCCCGGCCTGGTCAATTGGCAGTACAATAATTTGACGCCATTTCAAATGTTTAACTTCAACACGACGCACAATTCCCTGCTAGAAAACAAGTATAGCTATATGCTTGCCTTGGCGCATTCGGTTTGGCATCATGCAGGTGTAGGACAGATCACAACGATGCCTCAGTGAGCGATTTCATACATATATATATAAATTATAAAAATTAACATTTAATAGTACATAAAAGAATATATAATACGAAATTTATATATAAATAATGTAATAAAAATATAAATAATACGTATATATATAAATATAAATTCGTATATTCATATATTATACGTATATTCGTATTATTTATATAAAAATTATATGAAAAATTAATAATAAATGTTGGTCTCTCGTTAGGTTCATCAAGGAGAAACTTCAGCCAGTTGTAAATAGCGAGGAACAATTAATATATGCTTGTCACTTAATTGGCCCTACTTTAGCAAGGTTCAATGCAGAACGGCCGCAATGTGTGGTCGAACTTGCAGTCTGTCTCTACGAGATGTTGGAACAAGTTGACCGTGCTCAAACGCATTTACGTTACATGGATCCAGTTTGTGATTTATTGTATCCTTTGTGATAAGCCGTTCTATCGCATATGAAACACACTTTATGCATGCGAATATATTCACAAATATATTCTCACACACACATACACACGCGCGCGCGCGCACGCATCTTCCTTAACTATTATGATAGATATCATATAAAGTATATGTTCGTCGGCGATATGATGAAAAACGAAGTGGAATGTATCATTCGAAGATTGTCCTTTCCACTACAACGAAGACTGCGTTTCATCACTCATCTAAATTTAGAAGAAATCCATACATCCTGAGATACAGTTACTTCCGCTACCATGGAAACTACTTAAGTGCACATCGTTTCATTTTAGTTATATGGACATCAATGCAGAGAATTTGCATTGCAGAGAACAGAATTATTAGATAATAATTTGACACGATTCTTAAAAGACTCCTGTTTTGTCGTTTTATATTTTATATCTGTCTCAATTTTGAAAACTGTGTCATTGTGTTTTTGCTTTCTCGTCGTGCTTATTTTAGATTGGTGATTTTGGAAGCGAGAAAATATACGCTCAAAATTTTTGCAAAGTACGTTGAAATAAAAAGACGCATTCATAAAATGACACTTGCGATTGACTGAGCGGGTTTGTAAAATACTTCTCTCTCTCTCTCTCTCTTTCTGATCAATACACAGTCGTAAAATTAACGGGACGAAATTACATGATTGAACAGTAAGCCACATATGTCATCAATCTAAGATGATCCCGACGATGAAATAAGAACTTAACATGGTCTCTAAATTAAGACAGATATAAAATGCCTGTAAAACTGTATATACATAGTGTGCCACATTTTAAATATATTTTTTTGTATTGAATATTCTTTGCAAAAGGAGGGTTATCAATCAGCATGTATATATATGATGGTTAGGCTGTAATCAACTTTATAGTACGCATTATACAATAAGATTTATTATATAATATTATATACCAATTAGACTATACAATAAGATTGTTATACGGACACTGTTTTTTATGACCTAAAATTATAATAAATAATTATATTTAATAATTTGCAAAATATAATTATCCTTTTGTAATTTATATTGCTGTAGCTGACGTTATTGAAACAATGTAACATCCGGTGATAAATTATTATATGATCATAATCTATAGTTTATCGAATATTTGAAGCTCGATATAGCCTCGAATGTCAATTCATCATATTAAAACGGTAAAAGAACCGATAAAGTAAGAGCCTTATCGTAATTATTAGCACATAGATATCGCATGTAGCTGACAAATTTTTAATCTTTATATCCTTATATCTTTAAATTTTGAAATAATTTCAATCTTTATATCTGTTAAGAAAGATAACTGACTACAATAAAAGATATCATGAAGAACTGTATTATATCGGCAGTCTCTGTTGTTTTAAATATGGATGTTTGGATTTAAATAGGTGTCTTGTGTTTTGATCCGCTCGATAATATTTGCTCGGCGATACAAAAGCTGATTTATTTCAAAAGGATATACTTTTTAAACGTGCGATTAAGCACTTGTGGAAGATATATATGTCTTTTGTTTTGATATAGATAGACTGCAACATGTTCGGAGCACATCGCAATTGCAGAGGTGTGCTATTGGTATTTCGAAGAATGTCCTTACAAATGTGCGATTTGCTCATGTGATCGGTGAGTTCCGGGCGCATGCGCTCGAAAATACGGTCGATAAAAGCAGTTCTATAATCATTCAACGTTGAACAACGCGAATAGACCTGCCTGCGTCAGTCGGCGCGACGATTCGTTAAAGTTCTTGCCGAAAGCCCCAAGTTTTTACATTCCGCAACACCTATTCCTTCATTCGCGAATAAATTATCAAAATGAGTTCTTTGCATCTAACAACTGGTAAGTAATAAATTTAGCCGAGTAATAAGAACATATTGAATAGTATGTGTGCCTTAAGATATGCTTCATTATTACGATAACATTTTTTTTCACGTGGCATTTTTCATAGAAATGTCATCAATGACGAATTTATTAACCCGTATGGAAAAACTACAAGAAAAAATGATTGGTATACTACTGAAGAACAATAATTTTTCAAAATAATATTTTTAATAGCAAATTGTTCTTCAACAGTATACCAATAATTTTCTCGTATTCTTGCCAACGTATAAGACAATTTTAAGATATCCTATGCGTTAATTTTTAATATTCTGCTCACTGAGTTGTAACATTTCTTTTCGCACGGGAAACGTTAATAACGAAGAGGCGATCCACAAAATGTAATGTTACTTTCGTTCTTAATAATTGTGCAAAAGATATTACGTAATACAATGTGATAGTGGAATACTGGCTAATATTCGTGATTGTCGCGTCTCTCTTTGAGGAAATTGATTCTTTTCAGACTCTGACAAGCCAGCAGAAGTGGAAGGTCTAGCGCGTCTATACAGTATGACACATTGCCCTTTCGCTCATAGAATACGGCTTATACTTACTCTAAAGGACGTTCCTCACGATATTGTCAATATTAATTTAAAGAACAAACCCGATTGGTATTTCGAAGTACGGATTCGATCGTTACTAAATGTTAAAAATTTAAGTGGCATTTCTCGTCGTTTGTACGAAGTATTTTGGTTTCAGATTAATCCGAAAGGAACAGTACCGAGTTACATAGATACAAATGGCGAAATAATAACGGACTCTCTCTTAATAGCGAATTACTTGGACGAGAAGTATCCTGAACCGGCTCTTTACAACGAAGAAACGAAAAATCGTGACTTAGAATTGCTGGACAATTATACTAAAGTGCGGATAACGTCATTTATTTAATTCCCAAAAACCAACGATTTTTTATAATAATTGCATTTTTTATCTTATAGATTGCAATTATTTTTAAAAACTGCTTATATGACGAAGACAAGAGACAACTGGAGGAGATTGTGGCCGAGATTATGGATTATTTGGATGAATACGAGCAAGAGCTCAATATCCGTCAAACACCTTTCTTCGGGGGTTCGTGGCACTTAGGTCTTATTTTGACGTATTCCTTCATTCTTCACCTGTTCTTTATTCTGCATAAAATCTTTGGTTTAGGAAGTAATCCCGGTATTCTGGATATCTTAATGTGGCCGTGGGTTGAGAGGGCGAAAGCACTGCCGCTACTTTATAAACAATCAGCAGGTTTTGATAAAGAGAGATTTCCTATGCTCGTGAGTATACAATATGGCGTGTCTAACTGTATCTTCTCCTCTTCAAGTTTGTCAACTCTTTTTTTTTTTTAGTGTTTCCTTACGTACGTTATGCGATAATTATCCCATTAATCATAACTTGCGCCGTTTTAGATGAAATGGATAGTCGAGATGAAGGAACAACCGTTCGTTAAAGAAAATAAATCTTCATACGAACAGTTTGCGGAACACATAGAAACTGTAAGATCAGGAAACCCCGAGTATGACTTTTAGATGTATCCACGGATAAAATAGAGCAGAGACAAATAATACAGATGTTCGCTTGATAGAAAGTAACAAATTAACACGATAATATCGACATTTACGCTTGTAATGCGAATCTCAATAGCATCCCCTCGCCGCACGAGTTACACAGTCAGAGAATGTATAAATTGTCTCTGCGTGAGAAAAAGAGGATTTTTCTATAACACATTACGTATAAAAATCATTTTATAAGTTGTAATAAAATTTATTTGTTTTGTCAATACAACAGTGAAGAAGGAGAAAGTTAAAGGTTTATTTACGAATTATTCGCTGTTCCCCAATGCGTGTCTTCCTATCGTCGTTATAAACAAGGGAGGTTTCTCAGAAGCGCGCAGAAACGGAAGTTATTATTTCAAATTATTTTGCAATACATTTATTGCGCGTTTTATAAAAGGCATCTACTAATATCTCACGGATTATTCGATATAATATTCAATTGCATCTGTATGAAGCTTCTGCAATATTGTATTGCTATTAAAATATACGAAAAGACGATGTCCGCCCGTTGAAATTATCAACAAGTACAACGTAAACGTAGATTACGTAAATATACAGATTTCTTTTCATCGCGTTTTAATACTTCTACATGAAAATATATACTATTATTATATTATTCGCAAATATATATATGTATACTTCTTACAAGACATGCGCTCTCCTTCCTTCGAATCGAAAGCCTTATACAAAATGTATGTACACTAGAGTCGTATAGTTCGCATCAAGCGACGTCGATCACGATTCGATCGGTTAGAAATAGCTTTCTAGGGCACTGTAATCCGCAATAGCGTACAAAGTGCACGGCGCAAATTTTTTTAAGGCATTTCTTAAATAACAACTTGTTTATTTCAACTATCCGCGCCCGAGTGTCCTCCCAATCGCAATCGTCACAGAAAACCGTTCAAGGCGTTTCAAATGGGACGGACTTTAATCCGTAGTCAGCGTAAGTTTCGTTAGTAAAACGTAATAAGATTATTTGTACTTAACGGTATTTCACTTTCATAGGTAGACATGGTAGCGACACTCTCTTCGGTAGTAGCTCTCAGTAGGTTTCGTAACAGGCAAAAATCGCGAGGAAAAACTCGCCAATTTTACGGGCTGTTGCGCATACGATTCCTCACCGCTTGCAGTTGTGAAATGCACTTTCGAGACGAAATGCCCGCACGATTCGCGATAGTTGCGAGATTAAACGAAGCGGCTTAGCGTCGGCTCACCGAAATATTCGATGATGTATGCATATTCATAGTATCAACGAACGCGTTAATAATCAATTACCAAACGGTGCATTTATTCGGGGGGTTCATTTTAGCTCCGAGCGGGCAGCGGAACGCTTCGGCGAACGCGTGTGAATTCATCATTATACCGTTCACTCTGAAAATTTCATCAATTATTAATTAGAACCGGGAGGCGGGAGGAGAGACTTCAATCTCGAAGTGAAAAAAAGAGAAGATACCTCTCGGGATGAGGAGTACGATAGTCGAACTCGACGGAGAGGACGTAGGCCTCGGCAGTCATGTTAACGCAATATACCTGGGGACAGGACGACTTGTCAATTGAAAATCTCGCTTTTCCGCATTCATTAATGCGAATCCAAACGCAAATAAATGTGACACACGTCGAGTGAAGAATGATACGAGGAGACGATCGATTGTTCATTCACCTGAGCGGCACTTATGAAGAAGAGTTGGCTCGGTCGGAGCCCCTCCAGACCAGGCAGGCTTCGGTCTTTCCCGTTCGTCAAGGTGTGCCAAGTCTTGTGGGAGATTTGCAAAGCTCCGATGTCCGCGACGTTCTCATTTCTCGTCATATTCCAATCGAACTACGCGCCCAATGTCGAAATGAAAACAAGATTTGACGGAACAGTAATTTCTTCTCTTTCTCTTTCTTCTTTTTTTTTTTCGTTCGCTCCGAAGATCTATCTACAATGTTACCTGCACGGTAACGTCGTTTCCGTAGAACTGAACCTTCTTCCAAAAACTCCTGGCGTAGAGTCTCGCGACGCACTCTATCCTGGCCTCCAATCGCTTCCAGGAATTCGATGTGATCCAGAGCCACTCGTCAATATTTAGATCTGGGTCTATCGGCAATCTCCGACGATGGAAATCAAAGGCATGGAGGATCTCATGAGCGACGACCGATCCTAAGGTGGAGTGAACCGCGTAAGCCGGCCCACCGTCCCATGACCATGCCCAAGACGTCATCATAGCCAAAGGAATTCCTTTTGTTTTTGCAGAAAGAAATGATTTATCAAAATTGCTCGAGTTCTATGCGGTGAAATTGTTGCACGATAAGAGAACTCACCGACCGTATTTGAGGAGGATTCGTAATAGGCTTGTACGGAGTAAGGTTGATGACGCCTAAAAATGCAAAATCGTTGTTTTGCAGGAAGAGAAAAGAGAAGAAAAATGCAAAATCGTTGTTTTGCAGGAAGAGAAAAGAGAAGAATTGAAACGTAACAAAATTACCAGGTATTATCATTTTTTTCTAGTGTCGGTAAATCGACAAGAGATAAACGTGTGGAAGTAATGATTGGCAAATCGCCCGATCTACTGAACAGCAAAACTGTTTCTTTTATGATTTGTAGATATATGTAAAAAAAAAAATATATATATATATATATATAGATAAATTATTATCCTCACCTTTCCGTTGCGTTTTTTCGTAGAGGACTTTGGTTCTGCAATTTCCGGATCTGACGAAATCTTCTCAGAACGGTAGCGAAGAAGTCATTGGTGTCGATTACGACCTGCAAGACCGGATTTTGCATCTGTAACTGTGTATCTAATTCAGCCTAGGATAAGGCATCTATTTCAAATGAAATTTTAGATTATTCAAATCTAATTTGTCAAATCGCTCTGCGAAAAGACGAATCTGCCACAATTTGAAACGGACTTTTTTTTCTTTTATACTCTTATATATATATATACCAGAAAAGAAGAATCATCTCACCTCGACCATTTCACGTGTGAGCAGAGTGTCGTCGTAAAAAGCAGGCGACACGTGAAATCGACCCCGTAGGGAATTGAGTTTCAATAATGCCTGCGTCCTCGTCTCATCATCGAGCCACGATTTTATCAATATGCGTTCGGCTATTGTCTCCTTCACGCGTTCGAATAACACTGTCACCTACGGTGTGACCGATGATGATCGATAAGATCGATAATCGCGCATCATGATTACGAAGATTACGCACTTATGACCGAATTAAAGGACGGATATATTACCCTCTTAGCCAGAGTTTCTAAATATTTCGGGGTATACTGTCGCACGTAGAGCGCGCTGACTACATCGCTGAAAATGTTTCTGGTCAACCTGTAGCAGGAAGCTTCCCAGTCCTTGACAGCGGTAACATTTACGATGTCGTGCAGTGTGTCCGTCGCGTAGAGCAACAGCAATCCATTATGAATAATCCTTCGTAATTTATCACAATTATGAGCAAATAACCGACATGAGAAAGGATACGTGCACACGCAATGTATTCTTGAAACTTTTTCGAATGAAATTTCACTCGAAAATTAAAGTGACACCCGAGTCATTTTAATTCGAGCGGCTTTTTATTCGGATAGAGTGAATTTTCTCACCCTAAATCATCAAGGGAATATTTCTATATTCGTAATTGAATTTAATAAATATATAGTCAACGAAAGGAAAAGGTTGCAACACTTTCACCTCGATCGAAGTTCAGAACGCAGCTCCAAAATTCAACAAGAAAATGTATCTTCTCGTGACGATTATTAAAAAGGAAATTTCCGGTATCTCTTTTGGATAAAGGGACGCGTTGCGAAAACTCGGCAAGAAGTTGTGTTGCAGCCTTAATTCAGCGATATAGAGTGTTAACCCGACCGATCGCACGTTAACCTTGAATTTGTCAATTAGAAACACAACAATGAGGAGTCGTACCGTCTGGACGAACGGTTCAATAACTTGCCAAGGCTACGGAAGTAACGTGGAGCGGTGACGTAAACGTAAATCTGCTGATCTTCAGATGTGATATACGGCGGCGGTCGGTGTACGCGATTCGTGTCGTTACTATCGCCGTGCAAATCGATACCGTTCGTACGGTAGTGTAACGTTGTATTCAGCAACGACCTCCATCTTATCTGTCCCAAGATCATCGAGATTGAATTATTTTCTTTGACTTTTCTTTTCAAGCACGAGTAGAACGTCTCGATTATTTCGTTATTAAGTGCTACAGCGTTCGCAAAACTAGAGCAGCTCATGGCAAATCGCCGTACCGTATGTACTTACGTAACCGAAGCTCTCTTGAAGGTACGTCACATTGTAAGCAACATACACTCTCTGTTCAACGTCCACCCAGTTGTACAAGTCTTTGTGCTTCGGATAAATCTGGGATATCGTGACGGATATGTTTGTTAATTGCGTAGCTCGTGATCGATAATGCAAAATGGTCGCACGTTTTATCCTCACCTTTTCGAGGGATGAGCAAAACTGCAGAAGCAGGTCGATCTCCGACGATTGTTCCTTGGGACTCATATTCTTTGGCAGGAATCCTCGAACAATCTCTCGAATCTTACGCAGTCTTTCTACGTCTCGATTTTTCTGAGATGGAGATGATACAGTTTAGTATAAAATATACGTATACACGAGGAGTATATATGTGGATGCACGAAAAGCCTTCTTGAATAATTTATCACCTGGCCTTCCGCAAGAAACTCATTAGTTTGATGCTTGATAGGGAAATCAAGGTATACGGATGACTTTGTGCGGTCGTAAAGATCTACGTCGACGTATAAATCGAAGAAGGGTGCGCCGTTTACTTTCAGCAGCGCCGAAATCAGAGGAGTGATATCGCTCGGTGCCACGTTCTTCGGCGACAGATAGCCGCCAAGTTCATCTAAGAGCTCATAAACTGAAACAAAGAGGACGTCTACGTATTGCGTTTCATCATCATATGCTCTCTCTGAATTTCATCGAGCGAAATTCCACTCGGGAAGAAAGCCGAATCGCTCGAAGTAGCACGAGTGACCCTCTACTTACTCTTCACTCACGGAATGCGAATTCTACGCAAAGATTTCACTCACCGGGCGTAAAGTTTGCGGGTTTCTTCTTGAAGCCTCGACAAACGTTGTAAAACTGTCCGAGCTTCTCGAAGACGCCGTTCATCTGCCCCGTCTCGTTCGCCAGCATTTCTAGAACAATCGTAATTCGTGTGGCTGGACTTTCTCCAAAGGAAGACATTTTTTTCTTTCCAGGACCGAGGGAAGTCAAGGGAGCGAGAAGTAAGGTGCATTTTTAAATGATCTGATTAGCAATCAGGAGGTAATTTGCCGACCTTGAATCACGCGAATGGTGTTTCGAAGGTTGCGTAAAACCGCGAAGAGCCCGCCGGGGGCATTATAATAGGCAGTCCACGTGACAAACGTACGTGTACACGTGTATCGATTACGTGCATTATTTATAGTACGGCAACGTTGGCCGAGTTCGATTTCCTCTCCTCGCATCCGATAACTTTTCATTTCAGCCGAAATTCCATGCTCCTTCCTCTCCCTTAGGAGGGGGGAATATTGCCAGGACACCGGATGCGTCTCAATAGCGTTTTCTCAGCGGTACGCATGTTTCCGCCGCATCAACCACCCCTGGATTGCGACCAGGCTTTTTGCTCGCGCCTCGAAAACGGTGCCCGCACTTCCGGTATTTATCTAGCTCCCCTTTAAGTTTCGATCCCCAAACCGAGTTATATTATCCCGACGATCTATATCGCGAATACATAGTTGGTGCCAGTCGCTCGGCGCCAGTCGCGCTGGCGACACCACCACACAAGACCACTGCCAACCACCACCACTGCCACGCGTGTGTCCGCGATAGATTCTTACCGAAATGAGGTCGTGTTTTCTGTCCGAGTTCTCATGCTCCTTCAACCTTCATCGTTGGAGATTGATTTATACATCGCCATGAGGCACTTTTCATTTATACTCGTTTCTCACCCCCGATACGCAATTACCCCGCCCGAGTTTCTTTCTTTCCCTCGGCGGATTAAGACCGCGTCGTCGCAATAATCGTGCGACGGAAAGGGAACGGAGGGAGAAAACTGAGAAACGCAAAAAAAAGGGGTTTGATACTCGTACATAGGAAACCGTGAACCATGATTATTCGGGTAACTATTGGATGGAAAATTGGGCACGGGTGAGAAACAAAGAGGAAAAAAAAAAACTGCAGAGAGAAAACCATACAAGGGTACTCACTGTGTATGCGTTCGTCAATTTGCAGCTGAAGTATATTGAAACTCGCGCTCGGCTGGTAGGGCTGCTGATCGCGAAAGCCGCCGCAAGCGAATTTGTAAAAATCCTTGCAAGGATCGACGCCCCGTTTCATGGACGACAGAATCCTCTTCGAGGCCTCCGCGCAAACGTCCGAGTCACAAACACCATCGGGTCCATCTCGCTCTCTGATGCAGGCTTCATCCTGAAATTGTACCGACACCCTTGTTCTGAACGATACTTCATTTCGAAAGATACGGATACATTATTTTCTTTATTAAGGGTTCGCAAAAGCCCGTCGGATTATTCGTGATTTGATCGGCCGAAAAAGTGAAAGTCGTTCTACTGACGCAAAATCACCGAATGGCAGTTCCCGTCAAAGCGATATTTCCGCCGATAGGTTCTATCTCTTCCATTAGGCCGACTCAATAATTCTACTCAATATTAACGTTCATCGCTGCAACCGTTTTCGTATATTCAATGACAAACAACGGTCTATGAATAACCGCGTTTGAATGCAAACCCGAGGCGGACGAATATAGGCCTAAAGGTCAGGTTAACGGGTAAAGCCCTGACCTCAGCCGAGGATGAGCTTTTCATTCGCCTCGAAACCTTACCTTCCGATACGGCTTCACTTTGTGTATTGGCACATATTATGGCGTCTATCGCAAATAATCGCGAATTATCGTGAACGCGGCTGCCGTCTGTCGCTCCGGAACTTATTGTTTATTAATTACTAATTCAAGGTAACTTGTGCACCGGAAACTCTCGTTCCGCTTCCTTTGTCTTATCTTATCATTAATTGTCCTTATCTTATCATTAACACATCGTGCGTCACTCATCTACGTTTCGTAAGTCAGTTTATAATTGCATTTCATTCGAGCGTTGAACTATCTCAAATCGCAACTCGACAATCATATTCTTTCAACGGTACGCATCGCGGTTATTCCCGTGTAAAAGTTCTAGCAAGGCACTATCATTAAATACTCCAACTTCCTACCTTCCTTTCACCTCGAACTAAGCCACGATCGATATAAATTACTCGCCACTCCGACCAACTGACAGGGTCATGCGAATTTCAAACGGAATCTCGTTATCGAGACTATGTATTTTAATAAATTAATCGATCGAACGAATAATCGTGTAAATGAATTACGCGGAGCAATCTATAAGTGACTTGATCAGATTCCGATTAAACTTATCGACAATTAAACGACAAAATTGCCAACATAAATTCTTCAGTTAACGATAACGCATAATAATAATTCTGTGCACGTCATCAAAATGGAATAAGTAATAATATTGAGTCCAATAGCAACTTTAAATATAAATTACAGAGAGATAAAATAAAACAATTCTCTTTCTCATCTTCACAATAAATTGTCTTCTCATATTTTCCACATTGACGACTCTGCCCGCTGAATCAGTCAGCCATCAATTTAATCAGAGTTTGGTGAAGTTCACCCTTAGAGCCTCTGATCCAGCTAATCGATGAGTAATAATAAAAATTGCCATCGTGAAAATCTTCAGTTATGCAATTCGTAACTGCAGTAACCGAAAACTTCACAATTGCTATCTATATTAGTAAGATAGAGCAGACAACCGGCTTGACCGACATGAATTTTCAATCGTCGGTTAGCCTGATCGGACCTCCGGCGAAAGTCACCCCTGAGGGGATCAAGGACAAAGAAGAAAACGCACCAGCGGCGCGCAGCTCCGCGGCTGCTCGCCCTCCGGCAGGGTCGTAATGAGGAAGAGCACCGGACTGGTGACCAAGAGACTGGTGACCAGCAGCATGGCGAAGGTGAGCAGCGCCTTGTGGACGGCCTTGCTCCGTCGCAGCCAGTAGCAGGGCATGCAGCATATCCATGCGCCCTGGTGCCCGGTCGATCTCTCCACGTGCACCATCGGCTCGTCCGACACCAGCCCGATACCAGCTTCTTCCGTGCCGCCCAGGGTGCTGGTACCGCCGGTAGCCACGGTCGCACCGTGCACCCCGCGAGAGCCGCTCGTCCCGCATAAAGTGCGGGGGCTCAAGGGCAACCGTGCGCTCGCTTCACCCGCGCGTAACCTACTTCCTCCCACACCACCACCACCAACACCACTACGGGCCCTGCCACCCCCGTGGGCCGCACGACCCCCGTAAGCTCGGCTCACCGTGCACAAAGCCACATTTGCCGGGTCCCGCCGTACGTCCTGTCCCTAAATCCCGTTCCCGCGTCGAACGTCCGACTGTTCGACGGCCGTTTTTTGCGCCCTCTCCCTCCCTCGCTCTGTCTCTCCCTCTCGGTGATCCCCCGCACGGCACGCTGGGGGACGCCGGATAGAGCGCAGACGAGGATGCGCGATTCCAGCCCTCACCGAGGGAACATCGCCGGCTTAGCTGCGACTGCGGCTCGTTTCTCGGCTACGGAAATCGTATGCAGAACGATATAACCGCGTTCGAAGTCCGAGGAAAATGACGTCGCTCTTAAGACCATCGTTATGTTCTCCTTTAAGGCGGTGAAGTTACGAATTCGACGGGACAAACTGATTATCCAAGCAGAACGAATTTCTAAGAGACTTCTCAAAGACGTCTGAAAGATATCTAAAAAGAATAGGAAGTCTCTTGGACGTCTTTGAGACATCTTTTAGAAATTTGTTCTGCCTGGATAGTTTCCACCCCGATCCGGTAGAAAATTTCACTCGGTGCGAAAGATTTAATAAAAGAGAAAAAAAGTATACGCAAAAAGAATCGCGCGTGTAAGTACGCTGATTGACGAAATCGAGAAGTCGGAAAAGAAATCACTTGATCACTTTGATCAAAATATTAAAAAATTTTTTTTCGTTCGAAAAAAAATTATATTGAAGCCAATGACACAATTATTCCGATTACTTGAAATTGCTTCTCGAAATTATATGCGAGAGCGCGCGCGCGCGCGCGCGCGTAATTTTGTTTTCAACTCTGGAGGAATACGGTGAAATTGCCCTTTTCAATCTGGCATAGTTTTTACAGGGAGTATCTGTCATGTAAATTGCGCTTACGTGAACTTTCAATAAGGACAGTGAAAGAATCGATAATTTCGCACACACTCGCCGCGTCTCTTTGAACGTCGCCTCGGCTCGAGCCTCTCTTAAATTCGAAAGAACCGAACACGCACATGACGTGCTCAATGCACCAGCACGTTTCTGCGTTTCTCTTTTCTATATGCCCCCTCTTTCTCCCTCTCCTTCGCGTACAGTCATGACGATTAATTAACGAACGGATGGAAATGCGGTCCCGTTCTCGGTGTTCGAGCTGGCTATAACACGCGGACTCTCGAACCGAACTGTCGGACTGAACGCGGCTCTCTTCCGTAATTCCACGCGCCTCAACCCTTTCCGCTTCCGTTCCATCCCTGCACCCCTCCGATTCCACTAACTACTCCATTTCTGCCTCCTTCTCCTCCTCCTCCTCTTGCTTCTTCCCCACCTCCTCCTTCTTGCCGACTTACAATTCCTTCTCCTTCCCTCCTCTTCTGCGTACAAGTCTCTTTCTGTCCGACGTTTAATCACGCGAGTTTACTGTTTGCTCCCGCTGCGCGTATACGCGCGATATTTAAATAAATGTCAATTTTACGATTATGTCGAGCTCCCTTATTGCCAAATACATTCTATATCTCTCTGTATTTCGCGAAATTAACGCGAAGTATCTCTGGTACCGATATCGAGTTACCGCTTTTTTTTTCCAAGTTGACCGCAATAAATAATGCATAATATTCTCGGTGTTTTTGTAATTTTTTTATATTATCATTTTTTAATTTAAAAATTAATATATCCGTTTTTTCCTTTTTACTGAACTTTTATGAATTTATTTAAACAAATTACATGCTACATAGAACTATGTTTTGTTTTAATAAGATAATAAAATAATATTATCAAAATTTTCCTATTTTCATCAAAAAATTCACGCAAATGATTTACACTAACAGCGCGCCGCGTCCAGTTCGCGCCGCTGCGCGTCGATGTAAACAAATGAACGTTGTTATTTACCTATTGCGAGTTACCAACTTATTTTTTCACTCATTTATTTGAACTTGTTTGCATTTTTAATTATTTGCGATGAAGCTTATGTTTTTTGTTATTAGAATTATTAAATATTTGTTTTTTTAACCGTACTGCTGAACTAGTGCGATAAATTAGAGCGAGGCAAAATATACATGTCTCACTCTAACTTATTGCACCAGTTCAATAGCTAAAAAATATAGATCGATAGATTTCCTGATCGTAATAGATTATTCGACCAAAGATTAGTTATCTTTAGTCGAGACGTGAACCACTTGAAAGATTGAAATCTTATTGCTTTTAGATTTTATACAACGTCGTTAGATGGCGCCAGATAAGCCAGTTAGTCGCGTTGAGCAGATTGAGTGGTTATCCTAAAGTCTCCGTTATGAGCCGCCACTGTCTTTAATAAAAAAAACGAGCGTGTAATATTACTCAACGATACATCAGGCTTTTTTATCTTCAAGTTTTACAATTGTACAACAAATAAACCTTTTATCTAACAGTACAACACAACAAAATCAGCCAAACGTCCTTATTACTTAAAAATGTTATGACTAAACAGAAAGTTAGTAGAAGGCTGTTATTTTCGAACAGTACAATTCAACGGCAGATCAGATGCAATTTTTAAATTAATATAAACTAATGTAAACGCCATTTATGTAATATTTCGTTGTAATTTAATTTAACTCTATGCATAGCTAATTTTATTTTCAAAAATATATTTTTGGAGACTAAAGACTTCGAGCTAAAATGTTTCATAAACTATCTCATTATCGTGATTTTTGTAGAAATTACAGCTTATTAAATTTTACGTATCTTCCGTAACCGACGAAAATTATTATTTAATTTTTACACGAAATATATTTGCACCTATTATTTTCTCCCTCTCTTTCTCACTAAATACACACATTTATTTATTTATTATAACAAAATATAATTGTTCGAACAGTTCGATCGCGCGGTGCATCCCAATCTTTCGCCTTACCCGCAGCGTTAACGTATATCCGCAAGCAAGATAATAAAAAGTCAACCCTGAACTCATCGCGGCGGCGGCGACGGATTAAGCACAATAACAAATCGCGATATCACGTGACTTCCCTTCTCACTGTATTATGAATACCGTGCTTAAGGAGAAAAGGCGGGATGGGGGGAGGGGAAGGGAGGGATGCGCGGACGCTTCATTGTCTCGAAGCGCGGGAACTCCGGCGCGGCTCGTTAAGCAAAGGCAGCCCCTCTCACGGTGCAAAGTTCACGGCTGTTTCACGGGGATTCTTATCTATCACCCGAGGTATGTCCGGGCCCCCTCGATTCTCTCGCGTCGTAGTTGTTGCTACAACTGCGACTTTTGATGCGGCTCCGCGAGAGACCGTAAGTCACTTATTCGCATCCCACATTTAGCATTAAACATGGCCGTCTAATCTGGGCGTTCGATTGTCCGTTGCGAAGAAACGCATTGGTAATATTCGTTCGTGGCGAATGGGATCATGGGATCTTGCGGAGTGAGTGCATTTCAATCTTATTAGCGCGATATATATCGACACTTGTATGTAAAGCGTCAGCGCGTGAAACAATCGCCCACGTACGAACGGAGGAATGTCGGGATTGATTAGGGCGTCTCGGATTGTTCGAGGGGTTAGGTTTTACATCTTAAGACGGAACGCTGAATCACAATGTGATACTTCGGACGTTCTTATCAAATGCATTTAAGCCGATTCTTCATTCTTACAGAGGGAGGGGGACCCGGCGCATAACACATTCGCGCGCCGGAGAGAATGCATCCTAAAGAGAAAACATCGAGCTTTCTATTTATTTTCTAACGAAAACGTCCCGCATCGGTCCGTTCATCCTCCGTGAGCGATCGAACAGAAGACCTTTTCGCCTCGACGCCGAGCAACTCGGTGAAAGGAATCGTCGCTCTTCGCTTTGCTTACCTTTTTTCCGTCCGTGAAGATCGAATGAGTTACGAAGGAAAGAGGCACGTAACGGGGATGCGGCAGGCGTGCGTGTCTCGTTACGCACGCCGTTCCGTTTCATGTAATTTCTCGTCGCGCAACGTCAACCCGGGCAGCTCATAATTCACGATCAATCACGATCACGCGTTCGCTCGCTCGCTGCCCGCTCCGTCGTTTAACGGGCGACGACAGATGGCGCCAGCCAGCGTTGTAATCGCCGCCGTGCGCGGAATGAAATTAGCCGCAAGCGAGAACAGGCGGAAGCGGACGGCGAACTTCGCTCATGATCCTCATACTTCTGTCATGGTTCCGTTGAACCGCGGTCGGTTACGCGTCTGTTACGCTTCCAGCTCCCCGATTCCTCGATGACGACGTCGGCGAGAACGACGACGAGGACGAGGAGGATGACAAGGGACGACGCGAATAATAGCCGCGAGACGGCGCGCCGGCTGCGAGGAGATGCACGAGAAGAGGTAACGTTTGCCATATGCCATAGGCTAGAAACCGGCTGTGATTTTTGCCGGCTGCGAGCGCGCGCGTTTGTACTTGTCGCGGCATCTAGGCGTCTGCCGCGTCCGATAGCGTTTGATCGCGGTAAATTCAATGGAAAAGAGGCGAGAACGCGCCTCGTTAGTTCGTTGGTACGTTGGAAGCGCGCTTATGCCCCGAATAATTCAATATCGTGTCGCACTCGACCAAGGTGGCCATCTTGTATCGTCTCGAATTTTCGAGTCGTACATTTAAACTCCAACGAAATAAGCGAAAAGTATGTTCATTGAACTTACAGTTTTAAAGTTTCGGAAAAAAACTGTTTTTCTGCCGATCTGTCTGACGTCGTCACTTTCCGTTCCAAAGGTACGAAAATTCGTTTAGAAAAATTCATCGTGTGTTTGGTTAAAACCTGCTACATTTATTTTTTCAGTAAAGGTGAAAAACCAAGCAATTCCGCGGGAAAATTGGGAAAAACGAAACTTTGGAATTATAAGTAGATCTATGACGAGTCGCGCGTAGGTGATATAATATTGCTGAAAGTCATATATACTCGCGTAGAGAAAAGTCTCTAGTTTTACTTCACGATATATAAGCATGTACCCTACACACACACACACACACATATATATATAACATACATCGTAGTATTGCCAATATGACTGAATCTGACTTCAGAATTTTCATTTCATTTCGTCTTGCATATTTTCGAATATTTTGAAATGATTATTCCTCCTTCCCGCGATGCGTCTTCTCAACCACTTGAATTTCGAGATTAAGAGAATATTCATAGTCAGATCTTATATTTAAGATCGTCTTAAGTTCATCACCAGATCTTGTATGAACAGTTTAATCGGTTTAACGGAGCATTTCAAGATGAACTTAAGACGATCGCATAAGTATAAGATTAGACTAAAAACACCGACCTGAGAATTACATATTTCCCGAGTCATTATATATACCGGAGCCGTCTTTCTTTCTGGACTCCGTGTGTCACGTCACCATCGTCATCGTGTCGTCCCCCCGGATTGATTTCTCGGATACAATCGTCGAAAGAACATAGCGCAACGTGCGGAACCGCGTTTCTTGAAGCAAGACTCCCCGCGAGTCAAGTCGGTTTGGTCGGTCGGTCGGTCGGTCGGTTGGTTGGCTGGTTGGTCTCTCCGCTTTCCTCCGCCGCGCTCCGTTGACGCCGCTCGTCGGCGAAGCGGTATTACACGCGGCATGGCGCGTTGCCACGCCGCGATGGGACGCTGTACACAGCGAAACCAGCAAAAACGCAACCTTCGTGTTCAAAGCAGGACGAGACGAGACGAGAGAGAGAGAGAGGCACGCCACGGTGGTGACGACGACGACGACTCAAGGCGCACCGTTGCACCTGCACCACCTCGTTGTTGCCCTGGCACTCCTACCTTACTGATCCCGACCGCGGGATACCGGGAATGCCCGCGAGCGCATTAACGCGGCGGGGAGGAGCGGCTCCTCTCCCTCGCTCCCGCCGACTTTTAGGGGGATCTTCGCGCCGCAAAATTTGCGTACGCGTAGGTGTTCCTCGCGTACGGCTCGATATGTATATTTCATTGAATACTAAAGAATTGCTTGGCGATTTTTGAAACATTGATATAATACGGGTATCTCGTGAACTTCTCACAACAAGTGATAATTTGTTGCTGCAACTGAAAATATTCCAGTGATATCTTGGAAGAAAAATACGCATCAAACTGGATAACTTTTTATAACAAATCGGACATTTTATTGCCGTATTTTTGTATGTATTGCAACGCATTTGGAGGAATATCTTTGTCAATATGTAAGATACATATCTGACTATAAAAAAAAAACCTGTAAATATCACATAAATATAGTACGAAAATATAAAAGGCGCTTTTTTATAACTGATAAAAGGAAAATACTGCTTGATATAATGAGACTTCAGTTATCTCTATAAGCGTAAATCACATTGAAAATTATAAAAAAAAGAAAACAAAGAGCATGAGCATTATGTTTCACGTAACTAAATAAAATACGAAAAAACAAAAAATTATCTTAAGTCCAAGTATTGTTCTAAGGTTATAGCGAAACTTTGGTTATAAGTAAAACGTGCTGAAAAGAACGATAACATAAAGATGTACGAATAGGTAACACAGTTAAAATATGAGAAGCAAAAAGAACATCTTAATGATTAGGGAGAAACAGATCAAGCGAAGCTGCGACTCTATACTGACGAACGTAAATCGTTTGATACTTTCCAACGTTCGATATATAAATGTCAGTTTAATATTTCGTGCCGAGCCGAGATCGCTCGGATCCCTCACTCGCACGATGTGTAGCATGTAGAGCACGTGGAACACGTGGACGCACTGGAGCTGGTGCTTCCACTGGAGCTGGAGCTCGAGTCGCTCAGTGAGGGTTGATACATGCCCTTCGTGAAATCACACCAGTTCGACTGCAATGAAAATGACGTGTTCATTGTCACTTCTGGCTGCAACGACGGAGGTAACCCGCCGTCGTCACTATCGCTGTCGCTCAACCTCGTCGACTTTACACCCGCCTCCGGTCGCACTTCGTCCGGTCCGGGTAGGTCGTAACTGATTGTCTTCACGCCATACATCTCACAAATGATCTTCCTGGGTCCTCCTTGATCCCTGGGAACGCAGGTGTCTTGCCACTTGACCACTTGATCCTCGAAGCCGATTTTTTTCAAACACGGAGCACCGTATACGACTTGTCTAGGCTCGGTGGAGACGGACGATAACGATCTGGTGGAAGCGTTATCGTCGTCATCCTTGATCCTTTGGCGGCACTCGGTGTTCACTTCACCCTCGCTCACCAGGATTTCGGTCTCGAGAAAATTCTCGATGGAGAACAACGAATGTTGCAGCTGCGAATCATCATCGTCGTCGCCGTTGTTGTTGCTGCTGTCCTCGTTTCTTCCGTCGTTCGAATCGCTGAAGTTGCTCTCCACATCGGAGGTCGAGCTCATCCGAGGGTCGTCGTACCATTGCACGAGAATACGCGGTGGCATTTCCATCAGCAACAATCCGTTGTTATCGCAAGTCGCGACTGGCGGGTTCTGTTCTTTCTCATCGTCCGATATCGACATCAGTTCCAAATCGTCCATCGTTTGATTATCCGTGCAATGTGCCTGCTGGGAAAAGCCCCCATTCAATTATAACACGCTGCTGACTGTCACTGACATACGGTTTTCACTCGAATTATGAAAAAAATTACGTTCGATATTCCGTATTAATTTCTTGTACGAATTTTAATTCTATATGATCTTTCACAAATTTTGAAAACGATTATTAAAAAATATATCAATACGTAGGATATCGGAGAAAATTATCTCTATATTAATTAATTAAATTTGATTAATCATGTAATTAAATTTTAATTATATATTAAAGGTACAGAGAATATAGTTTTCGACGTGTACAGAAATATGATAGAATAAAAGTAAGATATAAGGATAAAGTATTGACTTTTCTACACACATCGATTAACGTTCACAATTATTATATTTTTTCATTGCAATTATATTTTTATTCCTCGTTGCTCTCTCTTATTTTTATTTTCCACGTTTTATTAGATCGGTTATTAGAATCTTCAACCGCGTTCTTTGAATCTATCAAGGCTATCCAGGTCGATTTGCATAATTGAATAATGCAAATGCATGAGGAAATGTCTCGTGTTGAAGGTATTGAAAAAAAACTGTATTATACGCCTTTTTTTATATTACATGACACTTTATATGACACACGATTAATCAATGTCTTTGTATCATACGATTGCGGCAGAAAGAATTCTCAGACAGTACGAACTTCTAAAAGATGTCTTCGAAATGTTGATGAAAAAAAGTAAAACATTTCTAAAATACTTTTTTTAGAAGTATGTATTAAATAATTTTTTATTCACAGACCTGGAAGTAAACTGCATGCCTTTAAGGAACGACAAACGATAACGCATCGAAGGACAGAGGATATACCAAAATAGATATTTTTGTCTATTGCACAATTATTTTAGCAACGAACAATTTGGGGGGAAGCAGAAGAGCGAGAACGAGAGAGAGGATAAACCGTCTTCTTTTTCCTCACCACAATCAGTGTAGGAAAACATAACTCCTTATCGCGCTCTTTTGCTAACGCCGACTTTTTTTCCTCGAACGCAGGAATGCGCGGCCTTTTTTTCAAGTCTTTCAAGCTTCTTTTACACCTTGACCCCTCTCTCTTTCTCTCTTTAACTTTTTCCAAAGCGTATTAACAGCGTGCAAAAGTACGAAGGTGTAAACAGGAAGAATGGATCCATTCCGCGTACTCTATAATTGGGTGCACCGCAATCATTCGCTATACGCTTAGTGAGCGATTACGGTACTGAGATTGATTTTCATCGAACCTCGATTAAATTAATCGATGATCAACCGGTGGTTCTAATGGGGCGATTCCTAGCTATATAATTTTTCGTCCGGCAATCATCAAAAAATCAACAATTCTATGCACGTTAATAAAATATAACAGGTGATGAGGATATTTGGCTCGTATAGCGATTTTAAATCATAAATTATAAAGAGAGAAGAGGAGAATTTTCCTATACGTTTTATAATAACAAACTGTAACTGCATTTATACAAATTATCAAACCGATTTTAATTTCCATAATCCACATTTACACGAACAGCATAAAACTGGTTCAATCATTTCCACCGGTGTGAACTATCGATGTTACATATCGTTATGTTATAATTTTATTATATATGACATACAATACTAATACTTAACACATCGGTTTTATGCTGGTCATGCGAACGTGGATTACGTGGATTATCAATCAGATTTAGGCTGCCGTGTAAACGTAATCTAGTGTCACTTTCCACGTGGGCAACTTTGCCGGCTGAGCTAATCGTCGAGCAGCTTAATCAGAATTCGGCGAGTCACACTGAATATGCTCGTCTCAGCTGTGTTTGGCAGAAAAAGCAGTAAGACGCTTCCCGCTGCGCCTTACAACTGTCGTAGGATCTTCTGCTGAACGAGATAATTAGCAACTTACGTTGCTCCGTCTTTACTAAGCGGCCCAGCGTATTAAAAGTACACCGGGGGAAAAATGATGATCGCGGCACGCACGCTAGTAAACACGTTCCAAAAGCGTAAATACCGCTGGTATCGTTCGGCAGGAAAATCTTGCAACTGTTGTCAAACTGCTGGTAAAGCGGCTACTTCTGCTGAACGCAGCCATCAATTTACCTTTTCGAGGGGAACAGACGGGACGTCGATGTAGCGCGAGACAGGTCTGTACCACGTGTTGCAGTTGCTGTGCATGTTGTGAAAGTACAGACGGCCCTGTTGGCTCCTAGATGGGCATTGTACCCAGCCGTAATTCTCCACGAACTCGCCGAATTCGTACACGCGCGGACGCGACTGCCGTGTGACCGTGGACACGCTGTCATCGTCGTCGCAGTCGTCATCGTCGCGCGACCATACGATCTCGTCGTCATCGCTGTCGAAGTCGGTGACATACGCGTCGGAATACATTCGAAACGAGTGATAGGATCGCCGGCCACGAGCGCGAGACACGGAACGATCGCGCAACGCGACGCGTCGCGTCCAAACAGCGCGATAGATAACCGACCGTCCGAAAGAACAAAACATAAGCAAGGCGCGCGAGCACGAAGCGCTCGTTTAGGGGCTGCCGCAAGCATTTAGATACGTAATTATCTGGAGATCTGTTTCGATCCGAGAACTCAAACCCGCTGTATTCAGGTAATTCAGGTAATCCTGATGATTATTCGGAACCAGCCTCGATTCCAGGATCGAATGCGATTAAGGGGATGCCAAGAAAGATTTGGTACATGGAAAACATATTGCAGTGCAAATTACTTACAAATTTTGCAGTGCTAAAAGATAGTGCGGGATTATTATCGAAATTATTACGTGTGTTGTAATTTCGATAATAATTCCGGTATATTCCAGCATTACAAACTTTTGTAGTCATTTTTACTACATTAGTTATATTAACACTTATAGTGTTAATATAACACTTACACATGTTAAAATAACATATTTTATACTTTACCCTTCAATCTTAATTTTCTTAATTTTGCGTATTAAATTTTGACATAATATTTATGTTACTTTTTAATATATTCATCTTGTGTTAAATTAATACAAAAACTTGTCTGGGCCGTTTGGAGCAGCAGTGAGGCGAATGCTGCTGTAAAAATTCGCGATTACGCGCAGAGTGTCGTCCATTGTAATCGATTTGCGCCGATGCACATCGGAGGAGCGCAGGTATATGGATTTAGAAACGGGTCAGGAGGTCTCGCCGTCCGGGGGACCGATGGTTGAACATTTTTGTCCATTTTTTTCTGGAAGAGGAACGTCGGAAGAATGCGTAATGTAATACGGACGGCGCGTATCCCAATACGCGCGCGCGCGCGCAGGGCTTATTATTCGCGTGTTGTACATTGTTTATCATTCGCGACGTATCCTCGATGACGCGCGGAGGTCCGGTTCCTGCCTCGTTTCACATAATTTTTCTCTCCTTTTTTTTTTTACGGCCGCTTTTCCCCGAAAATCTTCATCCTAGCTTAGAATATCCGATGGACGCGCCAGCTGCCGTCGGTGGTCACTCGATACGCGCGTTTCTCGCTGTCCGCTTCTTCGTCCGCGGTAATTTTTTTCCTCGAATCTTCCAGGTAACCTAATTACAATGATTCTTACTTTTTCCTACATCTGTCTCTCTTTAGCCTCTTGGATTCTTTGTCCCTCTGCATTTTTTTGTTTTTTCGCGTTTGCAAGTTAGTATAAACATAGCACGATATGTAATTTTGGGAAATATGCCTTCAGTTATCGAACTGGATTTTGTACTATGAATCCGTCGAAAGCGTAATGCAGCATAATTAATCAAAAATTCATAAAGTGTGAGATTAAGTTCTCTCGCAAAAGTATGTTTTTTTATATACAAATTTTACGTGAAATTTTTATGTTATTTTAACATGGAGAATATGTTAAAAAGTACATAAATGTATTTAGGTTAACATATTACTTTTTAACATCTTCAGTTTGATGGGATATATGGTCGACAGGATGAAAACTCAAAGTGTCAACACGCTTCATTCGCGAACGCTCGTTAATTCAAAATTGAATTCTCTAAATGCTAATTTTTGAAAATGCTAATCAGCGAGAGTATCACGTTTGCGTCGGCAAACAGAACAGATTTTTTCAACAAGATGCGAGGAAGCGCTTACCGCACAGCCGTTGTGAGAGGGGCACAAAAAAAAGAGAAAAGGAAGAAAAGAAAAAAAAATGATCGACGGTTAGATCTAGTTTGAACGTCTCTCGTAACTCGAGAATTTCTCGGACCTTTGATCGCTGTGCGAGGGCGTCCTTTATGTTCGTGAGTCCGCTCGTCCGCTGTGCGAACATGGCTGTACGGATATGAAGTTTCCTCGTTTTTCACCACGGCTCCGCTTTTCGAATGGCCTCTGTATCCCAACATTTTGATAGCCACCTCCGCCAATCGCGAGTCGTGCGAACGTGTATTTATTTATAAATACCGACATGCGTCGGAATACAATCAATATACTAATATTATTAACGATATTATTAAGAAGTAATATTAAAATAAATACACGACGTGTCCACACGGTGATAACAATATATTCTCAATAAGATCTGCCTAATTTCATATCCACCAATTATTAGGTCTACCTGATAAATAATTATCATAAATAATTATTCACAAATAATATTGAGTTTTTCTCACAATAGTCAAGTATCTACAAGACTTGTCCTTATTACTTTCTATTCGAACCGATATGAAAATAGTACTTTCCTAGCATGTTGTTTGTGTGTGCATGTGTGAATAAGATATTCAATTTATTATATCATTGATTAAAAAAATGAAAGCTTCTTCTATGCACTTTCAAATGTATAAATATTTTAAATGTGCGTTTCGTTTCGAAGCACTTGATTACTTATTGATGCTTCTAATATAAGCGGAGTTTATCGCACTTTATGTTCCTCAAGTGATAAGAAACGAACGGCAGGAAGTAGCGATAGAGGATCCCCGTCGTCTCAATCGTCGATAGCGAACGCGCGCGATCACACCGGGACGGAGAGAATCCGGCTTCCTTGCCGGACACCTTCATATCTGCTAGAACATCCTCTTTCTCTTTCTCTCCCTCTCTCTCTCTCTCTCTCTCTTTCTCGACAATCATTCACGCCTGAGTTGTCTCTTCGTCGCGCTATCGCGCTACGCGCGTTCGCGGAATCCGTCGTGAGGAAATGTAAAAGGAAATGTAAAAGACCGGTCCCCGGGCAATTTATAGTTTAAAAGGACGCGCGGTCGAGCGGTGCGCGTCCGCCGTGACCGCGACTTTGGCGACAACGATGACGAGGACGACGACGACGATGACTACGACCGCGACGACGGGAAGGAAGAGGCGGAGGAAGGAGCAGGAGGGACAAAGGGACGAAAGACGAAGAGCGGGGAGAAAAACGCGGGAGGAGGAGAAAGATGATGAGGACTATCGAAGTTAGGTTCGCGCTGGTGGTGATGACGATGGCGGTGGCGGCGGTGATGGTGGTGGTTTGGACCGTTAGTTGGCCCCAGCGCTGCGGGAGCGTTGTCCGGGCATTGCGCGTTACTATTCCTTCTCCTCCCTCCCCCCTCTTCTTCCTCCTCCTCCTCCTCCTCTTTCTTCTCCTCATCCTCGTCCGTTCTCTCGCGCTCCTCGTCTCTTCTCTTGTACGACGCGTTCTTTTTCTCTCTCTCTTTCTTTCTCCTGCCCCCTCTCTTTCTCTTTCTTTCTTTCTCTCTATTATCCGTCTTTCTTTCTCTCTCTTTGTCTCTCCCTCTCCTTCTCTCTCTTTTTCTCTCTGTACCTCTCGGTCAAGCTCTCTCGCCCGCGTTCCTGCGTTCATTCTACCGCGGACTTCCCCGTGTCGAAGCGACCCTTCCGCGCCGGTTCGCCAATATGGCGACTCGCGTTCTACCTTCCTCCGTCGCGCCGGCGAAAAAAAGAAGCACCTCGAGAGCGGAGTCCGCGTTTTACGCTCCTGAATTCGAACTATTCGCCGCACTCTCGTGCTTGATTTCATCCAAGAAATTTCGCCACCTCGAGAAAGAGACGCTCGGAGTCTCCGCCCGCTGGATCCGGAGACTTTGACGAATGATTTATTTATGATCGATCGATTTTTCCGCTCCTTTCTTCTTTTCCGTCCGTATATTACTTAACTCTTAAATGCATAGTGTTGCAAATTTGCAACATATTTATTTTTCCTCTTTGTCGAGATCAAAGGCACACCTAAACGTGGAAGACCAAATTCTTCCTTAGAACGAAATATACAATCCAAAAGTCACAAAGGCTATGCTCAACAAATGCCTCAGATTTTTTAAATATTTTTCTCATTTTCTGAGACTACCTATGAACCTAAAAAAAAATAATTCAGCAATAAAAAAAATTCATGCATTTAAGGGTTAAGGAAATTTTCCAAGTTGTAGTTACGCGGTGATGCTCGAAACAGGCAGGTTTCGATCAATTTTGCATCATCGACGTGCTCAATTAATCAATTATGTAAGAATGAACAATGTGTCATGCCTCATGTTGTAATCAATGACAATCAATGACAATCGACAAAATAGTTTTTCCACAAACTACTGTTCCTCACCGTAGCTGTGAGTCATGCTCGCGTGTACGCTTGTGATGCAACTCGCTCGTGCATAATTAATTAACGATATAGCGATATTGCGAAATAGAGCTCTGGTATGAGAATGAGTTTGTAAGCCGCACGATGCAAAATGATGCGAAACACCATCTCAGTGTCTTCACGATTCCTCCGTGTTTCCCGAGAACTGCATTATGCATAAACCGCCTGAAGCGCGCTAGGCGAGCCTCCCCAACATTATTTACTACGATGGATGCCCGGAGTAAACTCCAAAAGTGGAATAGACTACGGCGGCGATCTGGTCATTCGCCTCTCTTTCAGCAGGTACGCTTGGCAAATTTGAATGTGTACATCCTCGTAGAACGCCATGGATCGGCAAAGTCGATAAAACGGATTACCATTCGTATAACTTGCGTAGACGCACATCTCACTCGCGGCGTTTACGACGGAACTTTCTGCGCCGGATGATAATTTCTCGTCACGTGAATCTCTGAGATTCCCTTCCAATAAAAATTCGATACTGATGTGTTTCCACGGCAAAATTTACTTCCCGAAGCAGTCGGTAGAAATTTCTTTATACAATCAATCGAAATCGCATCGGTCTTTCTTCGTAATTTATTTTGTTAAATTACACTGAGGGAAAAGTAGTTGAAAAGTTATTTATGAGATATAAGATTTATTTTACAGAAATAAACCTCATTTCCCTCTATAAGATATTTCATAGACTTTATATCTTACAAATAAATTTTCAAGTACTTTTTTCTCAGTGATGTATGAAGTATCGTGAACATGTTAAAAATATCTCAAACATTCGCTACAATTATTCACTTGAAAAACCATTTACTACAGATACCGCTTTATAT